GAGAATTCAGAGAAATTACCAAATTTCAAAATGAAGAATATATGTGAGTGACTATAGTAGGTACTTACCTTTGAATCATAATGTACCAACCGAATTCCTTCAGCTCTCGCTGCATTTTTTGTGCATTTTACAATAGCACAATGTAATGACATGCGCGAATTGAATGCCGAAAAACACAATTCCTATGCCAAAATAATTGTGGAAAAGTATTGCTAAAAACCTACGATTTTTTTTGATTTCCTTTTTATCTGATAGGAAACTGTTCGTAGAATATGAAGGTGTCAAATCTTTCATTTTTTCTGCTACCTCTGGTGTGCCACAGGGTCCTAACCTGGGACCATTACTCTTTCAACTATTTGTCAATTATATTGGCAACAATTTGAGATCACAGAAACTTTTGTTAGCTGATGATTTGAAGTTATATAGGGAAATAAAAGATATTGATGACTGTGTATTGTAACAGAATGATATTGAAGTACTTATTAATAGGTGTCAAATGAACAAACTTTCACTGAATGTCACAAAATGCGAAGTTATGACTTTTTAAAGAAATTTGAATTATATAAAATATGATTACATGTTGAACGACAAGAGCTTGATGCGAGTCACTCAAACTAAAGACCTAGGTGTGACATTCGATCAAGAGTTATCATTCTCATTACATATTGAGGCAACAATATCATCAGCAATGGAATCTCTCGGTTTTCTCATCCGAAATTGTAAACACTTTAGTTCCTTCGAAGCGCTCCGCAGTATCTATCTGTCTATTGTTAGGAGGGAACTAGTATACTGTAGTGTGTTGTATGGAATCCATGCTACTCCAAGTATGTCACAGCCATAGAGACCGTTCAGAAAAAAATTCAAAAATTTGCCTTCTCCAAGAAGCATGGATTCTATCCGAACAGAGGTTATGATTACGAATCACTCCTCAGAGAATTCGATTTCATTCATTGAAAAAACATCGGGAAATTATATACCTAATATCACTTTCCATATAGATGTACCATATTCACAACACGATTTTCATTGTCCTCTTACGTCAATGTGTAGAAGTTATAATAATCTCAATGGTGTTGACATTTTTTTCCAGACTTTTTCACAATTCAGAAGAACTATATCAACATCATTTGGTAATTAATTTTTTGTTGTGAATTATTTTTCGTTTTCAGTAGTGTGTATCTTAAGCATTATAGATCTTATATCATTTACACCTGTAACTGGGCTTTGCCTGTTGGATGTGAATAAATAAATAAATAAATGAATAAACAAATGAAAAAAAGTGAAGTTGTTTCACCTCTAGGGTCGGTCATCTGACAGTTCTTGCACGCAATCCATTGGTTGTTGTTTCAACTTACGGGTTACTGCAACTGCACAAAGGCATGCGGTTTCACCGTTTGGATTCTTGACGACCAACTTGTACGCTCCACTATCGGAAGGTTTACATTTGTCGATGTTCAGCTTGACAGTTCCATCAGGCACTATGGTAGTTTTTATGTTACCATCATCTGCAGATATCGGCTCACCATCTTTGAACCAAGCAACCTAAAAATCAGGAAAATCTTTCCAACAAAATGCTCTATAATAATTCCTTTTTTTCTGTGACAGGAAAAAAGTTCGACATTTCATCTCTGCTGGCAGGTTATAAAATGTCACTTTTAATAAATTACTTTTTTCCTGTGAGAAAGAAGTGAGAACTTTTCTCCCGGATATACAGAGAAGTGCACAAAAACGGCCAGGCCTGTATCTTCTGAATCATTCTAGATCGGATTTCGAAAATTAGTGGGTAGCAAGTATACTAAATTGCTCATTGATTGACAAACCAATTTTTGTTCTATCACTTCCGGTTTCACCGGAAACGACCCAAACTTTTGATTTTCGAATAGGACACCCTGTATTTATTCCATAATCGGTTAGGGATTATTATGACGAATTCAACGATACCGGGTTTGATAGGGTTACTTCAAACGACAACGAAGATATTCGCATTGTAAGTTTCCATTTGCTCAATAAGTGGGACAGAGAAAGAAGTTTCGATATTTGGAAGTCACACCCATTGAGCATATGGAAACTTAGAACGCGAATATCTTCGTAATCGTTCGAAATAACCCTATCAAATCTGATATCGTTGAATTTTATTTATTATTTATTTATTTCAGTTATTGCATTACATTCTTTTCTTCATTGATACATTTCATACAAATAATATATAAAGTATAATTAATTTTCTAGTAGGAATGACATGAATGATCAGACAGTAATTCCTGGTATAAGATCATTCATGAAGTATTATCGACTGTTGTATAATTGAAATTACAAATAGTGAACAAAACTTACATATCATTAAGATACAGTCATATTATAGTGAACGAGAAGAAGAAAAATAGAAACAGTGAAAAAAAAAAAAGAAAAAAGAAAAAAGGAAATTCATGGTCTTTCAGCTTTGATCATTCCTTTGCATATAAATATATTTCTTAACTTTATTTTTGAATTGCATAATATTTGGGCTGTTTTTGATATCATCTGGTAATTTATTGAATTTCGAAATCGCCTCATGTGTAAACTTTTTTTGCCCAAGTTTAGAATTTGCAGCTTCAAGATGAAACAAGTTATATTGTCTAGTGTGATGATCATGAATTTCAGAATTCCTGATTGATATAAAATTTGATTTAAGCTTTTTGTTGATGATATAATAGGAAATTTTGAGAGTATTGATTAAAAAGTGCTCTTCCAAAGAAAATGTGTTTGTTTCCTTATACAGTTGATTCGTTGGAGTGTCATATGGAAGACGATACAATACTTTCAATGCCTTTTTATATAGAACAGAAATTTTGTTGAAACTATTTTTGGAACAAGATCCCCAAATATTTATGAGATAGTTAATTCGACTGAGTATATGTGAATAGAGAATGATATTTGATGTATATGTACTAAGTTTAGGACATCTTCTCAAAGCACCAATAATGGGAGATACTTTTCCTATGAGGATGTCAATATGCTTTCCCCATGTTAGTTTCTCATCAATCCAAATACCAAGGTATTTGGTATGGGCAGTTTGTTTCAAACGTTCATTTTTTATTCTGATATTCAGATCAATATTTATGACAATCCCTAACCGATTATGGAATAAAAACACAGGGTGTCTTATCTAAAAATCGAAAGTTGGGGTCGTTTCCGGTGAAACCGGAAGTGATGGAAAAAAAATTGCTTTGTCAATTATTGAGCAATTCCGTATACTTGCTACCCACCAATTTTCAAAATCCGATCCCAAATGATTCAGAAGTTACTTACAGCACTGGCCGTTTATTGTGCACTTCTCTGTATATTACAAAATATATATATATATATTTATATATATATATGCACTGTTGATGGCTTTTGTTGTGCTATAGTTCCGAAAAATGAGTCAATAATACCGTCTCCGAGAAAGAACTGCAAGTCCTTTTATCTTCCATTCGACTTTGCGGTTACGTATATTACTAAACAACCACCAAATTAGCAATTTTTTGAAATCAAATCACAGAATTAGACTGACAGAAGTGACATCAGATATTTGATTACTTCAAGAGAATGATAAAGATGCCTACAACGCAGGTGTCCCTACTGTTAAAAACTTGAAATTTCACGTCGATAATTTTCAGATTTCAAAGTAATGTAATATCTTCTCAATATTGATTCGTCCTTCCTTCTATCACAGAGAAATATAGTGTTTTATACACATCAAAAATATCAGATTTTAGCTCACGGTTTTTTGTCTCCCTCATCTACTCGTCGGGAGACAACACAACCTGGAGCTAAAATCTACTACTATTTTCCCTTGTATAATAAATTGCTATTTTTTTAAAGTCTAAGAAATGATGAAAATTCGATGTTTTACTCACAGTAGGTCTGGGACTACCGTTGATTTTAGCCTTGAGTTCTAATGGTTCTCCTTCATTGACGTCAGAATTCCTGTCCAACTTTTTACCAAATGATGGTGGAGTCTGTAGCATAGTAACTCGTGAAGTAGTTTCAGCTTCTCCGACTACGTTCACTGCCATGGCTTTGTACTGGAAAAGTGCAAATGTGATGACTATACAGGGTGATTCATTAGGACTGGAAAATCTCTGAACTTCAGATAGTAAACACAAAAATGATTTAGCCCAATATGCCTGTTGAGAATGTTGCTGGTTTAGGAGATACAGGGTGTTCTATTGCTCTTAGAGGGTGCTAGTGGTACTCTGTTACTTCAATATTCACATCATATCTTCAATGTCAATTCATTGATGATCAAAATAAGTGGAAAATCTGAAAGGTCGTTCGATTTCACATGAAAAGTGTACTCTCCATCAAATTGTCTTACTTCAACGGTTTTTGTGTTAAATAATATATTCATGTTCCAATTTTGAGACTCTAATAATTCCATTCATTGGATTAAGAATTGGAAATCCCAGAACTACAGATAGTAACTACCCAAATATGAAGATTTAGCCCAACATGCCTCATGAAAATATTGCTGGTTCAAGAGACACAGGGTGGTTAAGGAGAAGATATTTTGAAATAAATCTCATTATTTTTGTGTTTACTATCTGTAGTTCAGATATTTTCCATCCTCAACGAATCACCCTGTATAAGTAACTCTATGTGGCAAGTGTTTGAAGTTATTCCAACCATTCGCATGAAATATACAAGTTGACTTGTCGAATTCATTACATGTCATAGTTTGTGAAGATTACATCCACAAGATGACCACCGTCTTCGTTTATGTAAGTATTACTGCAATATGTTTCTGATAAATATTCACGATATAAGTATCGTGAAGATTCATATTACGATATGAGATTGGGAATTTGTCGAACGAGGCCAATAAATCACCTACTACTAATAATCCAAATGATTCACTTAACGATAAATACTATTCCTGATATTGATGATATCAGGAGATTGCAACCAGCAAGCCTTGCAAGGGTTGGATGTATACACATAGTTGATTTTTTTTTATCGCTTGAAGCGCACGAAAGGAAATCCCTATAATGTTCAAAGAACATCGTGCGTTCCTAGGGAGGATAGGGATAGGAGGTAGGTATTGGAATTTTTATTATGATATCGGTTGACATACAAATTATCAAAACAAACAGCCTACCATCGCTGGCGCAAGGATTTTCACCTCGTGGCTAGTGTGTCCATTTAGTGCGTAATTCTTCGATATCTCGCAAGCCATAACCTATAGAGAAAAACTTTGGAGAAAAAAGTTCTTCAGTTACTAAAATTGCTCATTTCAAAATTATTTTCAACATGACTGGGTGTTTAATAAAAGCAGGGCAACTCGAAGAAGAGTTTTTTTAAATGGAACACCCAGTATTGTTCATTCGGAATTGATTCCGCCAAGGTTCACCTTCACATCGCTGTAAAAAAAATTGAAATCGGTTGCGGCGTTGCCAAGTTATAATTGATAAATCTATTTTTACCATTATTGAAGAGTCATGTTGAATTGGGCATGGTATATTCACTTAATCAAATTTTGAAAATATTTTTGACGTACGGTAGAAGCAAGGTCCCACGTATACCAATCTAGTAATTTTACGACATGTTCTTCAACAGGGTGCTCAATTTTGCATTCAGAATTTTGCAAGATTCAGATGACATTCATCAGAATTTTTCAAATGGAACACCCTGTATTTTCATTCAAGAATTCATTCCGACATCTTTCGCCTTTTTATGGCTGGAAAACAAATTGGAATCGGTTGCGGCGTTGTCAAGTTATGGTTAATTACCTTATTTTTACTACTATTTCGAGGTAATTTGTACGTCATAGTTCTTTCATTTAATTGTATTGTGGAAATATTGCGTTGCTACGGTATAATCAAATCTGTTCATTGACCATTCTAATATTTTTTTACAAAAGAAACATTTACAGGCTCTTCAAGTTTGAATTTTTTTCGAAATATTTGTGTAATGACCTGTCAAACATCGCCACAATCAAATATATCTTGGATTGATTCGACATTTTGCTGAATTCCCTCCCAAAAGCCTCTTAGAAGAGACACATTGTTTGTATCATTATGTCTACCTTCATCAAGTTAAATGGAGATTTGGATTGTGGGAATAACGACAATAAAAAATGGCCCAAATCTCGAAAAATTGTCCTAATTTTCGCAATCCGCATCTTCATTGTTTGTATTGTAGGAGTTGGTTCAAAGACAGGCGTTGCTTTTGGCATGTTGGTTTGTTTCACATATTATTTGAATCATAAGTAACAAGATTACGAAATGTTTCAAATTTGGACGATGCACATATCACAAAAATAACTGAATGATCTATGTAGAACCTCGAATGTCAAGTGGCAAGCAATATTTCCACACTCAAATCAAATTAAGGAATCATCATGACGTACAAATTACCCCGAAATAGTAGTAAAAATAAGGAAATTAGTCATAACTTGAAAACGCCGCAACCGATTTTGATTTTTTCTTCTGCGATGAAAAGGCGAATGATGTCGAAATAAATCTGTGATGAAAAATACAGGGTGTTCTATTTGAAAAATTCTTATGATCGTTGTCTGAATCTTCCAATATTCAGAATGTAAATTTCAGCACCCTGTAGAGGATTATCTCGCAAGATTACTGGATTGGTATACGTGAGACCTTGCTTCTACTGTATGTCAAAAATATTTTCGAAATTTCAATAAATAAATATACCATACCCAATTGAACATGACACTCCAATAGTAGTAAAAATGGGTTTATCAATTATAACTTGGCAACGCCGCAACCGAATTCAAATTTTTTTACAGCGATGTAGAGCTGAACTCAAGTGGAATGAATTTCGAATGAACAATACTGGGTGTTCCATTTGAAAAAACACGTCTTCGAGTTGCCCCGCTTTTATAAAACACCCAGTATTGTTGGAAATATTTTCGAAATAAGCAACTTTAGTAACTGAAAAAGTTTTTTTTCCAAAGTTTTTCTCTTGTGATAATTGATTTCGGGATATCGAAGAATTACGCACTAAATGGACACACTGTATATTGAAAATACAGTAATAACTGCAGTCAAACAATAGATGCATCAAAAGAACCATACAATGCCAAAATGAGATGAAAACTCATAGATTGTCCGGCTCCCGTTCGTTTTGGTCTCTCGCTAAAGCCATTGGAAGGAATTTCACCGACAGTTCATTTCCACCACTCTCCAGTCGGGTATTTTTTATGTTGCTGGAAAATAGCTAGAGTTCAACCAATCTTTGAAAAATGCAAGAAAAGCCTGTCCAACAACTATAGGCCAATTGCCCTGTCATCAGTCATCGCCAAAGTGATAGAAAAAACCATCAAAATTGAGCTCATCAAATTTCTAGGAAGCTCAGGAATCATTGATGATGAACAATATGGCTTTCGCCACCAGAGATCAACTGGAGATTCACTTGCCTACGGCACCCATATATGGCAAGCTTCGTTAGAAAAACATGGAAAATCTCTAGGCATTCAACCGTGCTTGGCTGCTCCATCGTCTGATACCATTGCCATGAATTCCGGCGTTCCACGAGGATCAATTTTGGCACCAACATTGTTGTACTTATTGTTGTTGTACACGATAGTACTCTCCATACTGCGTTCTCTTCCAGAATTCCCATTTCTTCCCGAGAAACTAAGAACTTACGACGAAGGCAGGCCAATGCTGTCAATAAAGATCTTGCGGAAATTACAACCTGGCTAACCAACAACCTAGTTGAATTCAATGCCATCACAACGCAGGCCTGTTTCTTCTTCAGAAAGGCAGAACTCAGTACTCCTGATATAATAATGCCTGGTACCTAACACCATTCCCACCAAGACCACTATATCTATGCTGGGTATTTCCATCAGCAAGCCCCTCACATGGAAAAATCATGTGCGATCCACCGCGAAAGCTGCTTCACAAAAACTCGGATTCTTGTTCCATGCGAAATTCTACTTCACACCTCAACAGCTTCTCGTGATCTATCAGTCAGCCTGGGGAACCAACAACCTAGTTGAATTCAACGCCACCAAAACTCGAGCCTGTTTTTTCTCTAGGTAGGCAAAACTCAGTATGCCTGATATAACAACGTCTGGTAATACCAATCCCACCAAAACCACTTTATCTATATTTGGTATAACCATCAGCAATACTCTCTCCTCTCTCATGAGAAAATCATGTCCAATTCATCGAGAGAGCTGCTTTTCGAAAACTCGGATTCTTGTTTCATGCGAAAATCCACTCCACACCTCAACAGCTTCTCCTCATCTACAAAGCACAGTTACGACCAGTTTTAGAATACTGTTCTCATATATTGGTTTCAGCACCCAAACATATGATGATGCCTTTACATTCCATTCAGAGAAAAGCCATTCGTCTGGTGGGTGATATCACACTCACTTACTCTCTAACCACATAAGAACACTGCAGAAAAGTCGGCGACCTTTTACTTTTTTATAGATACTTCCACGGAAAAAGTTCCTCAATAACGCTTGCTATAATTCCATCACCAGCAACACCAGTCAGACAAGCTCGACAGACCCAGTCAGCACATCCCTTCGTCGTTAACCTTGTAAAATTTCGAACAACGCCCTACCAAATCTCGTTCGCCTATAGAACGTCGAAGCCAATGAAACTATCCTCAAAAATTGAGTACTCAACAGGAAACGACTACTTCCATGGCTATTTGCCAAGTCGAATATTGAATTTTATCTATTGAACATCCAAAAGGAGAACATGAAAATAAAAAAATAAAAATTCCTTCTGAATTTGAATGTTTAGGACCTTGAAATTTCAAAAAATCATTCGTATCAGCGATATTGGGGATATATCTCCCACAAACAGGGTATATGACTTTATTCGAATGAACTCATTTCGTGTATCAAACCCTTCTTCAGGCATTGCTCATGAAATACACAATTTTCTTCTCTCTATAACTCAAACTACGAACTGATATCTGCGAGAATTACTTTTGACATCTAATCCTGTCATCTGTTGAATATTCAGAATTATATCATATGCATATATATTCCCAACTGTAGGATGCTAGACCTCAGAAGATTTAATTCCCGAAATCTATTGTGAGTGTTCAATAGATATAATTCAATGTTCGTCGTGCCATATAGCCCGGAAAGTAGTTGTTTTCTGTTGAATATACAAAGACATTTCTTTTCTTTCAGATAGAGAATTAGAATTCTCACTGTAGGTATCCATTTATAGGTATTTATTTTTTTGATGTTCGTGATATATCTGTGAATATTCCATTTCAAATTGTCTGCTAGAAAAATATCTAAGTATTTTTGAGAAGCAAATTGATAGATTTCTGGTATCTCCTTATGATTGTGTCTTCAGTATGTTATGTTCTACCATCATTTGTATACTTACAATTCCAGAATTCAGCTCATCGAAATTCAAAATCCTAAGCTTGCTCGTGACTTGGGCCTCTGCGACCGTTTCTATTTTGTGGTTCTCATCTTCCACAATGCGTTTCCCGTTGAGGAACCAACGAATCTCTGGTTTCGGCAAACCGTCTGCCCGCACCATCATGATGGCTTCTCCTTTGTGCTCGATTTGATCGTCGACCAGGCCAGTGATGAATTTTGGTCTCTCAGCTATAAAATAAGCGAAATTTTGACTTGACCCGGTCGTTACTTGGAAATCCATATGTAATAAACTTCACAAACGTTAAGATTTTCCAAACATTTTTAATCACAAGACATGTTTCCCTAACACAGTAGCTTCTTAAGGTGAAATACTCGTACAATCAACTGAACTTGAATTAAAATGTGACTCAAAGACATGATTCAACAGTACTATAAGTGAATTGATCAAATTGCGAGACAAATTTCATTGTAAAAAAAAATCTATCCCAATATATAATATTTTGAAGAGCAATATAATTTCTATAATGAATCAGTGAAAAAAAAAACGAGAAACAAAAAGAGGAATTTCATGGTGATACTTTCTTTGATGGTACTCCAAAATCAGTATGAAATGGTATAACCCTTTGAGGTCGGAATTTATTTACTTGATATATTTTAATAAAAAAATGCACAAATTCATTCACATGTGATTCTAGAAGGTGTATATGCATGCCAATTCATTTTCAGACCTTGGCTGAAGGCTTCAGGACGTGTCCTCGGTTTGAAGACACTAGGCAATAAATATTGTTCGAATCACACAAGATGAATTTCCACAAATTTGTTTCAGTCGAGATTGACGCAGTGGACGAGTGCCCGACTCATGACCGCGAGGTCGTGGGTTCGAATCCCAGCCAGGGCAATGAATGTTTCTAATATTTGACTTAATATTCATTATTCCAGACAGTATTTGACTTAATATTGTTGAGTTTTGGAGCATCGGCTGGGGATAGTCCTGCACGATTCACTATTGCCTTCTAATTCACAGTGCTGCTTCTAAGTTGGCGTATGGAGTTAGTAACAAAGCCTGCACAGAACACACAATGCAGAACACTTTGGGCTAATGGACCTCAATGGTGGTCGTTGACCAGTTGGTGTGAACATATATACCAACGAAGTGCATATACTACTACTATTTCAGCTATCAAAATAATCACAAATGCTTATTGGAATGATATTGAAAGAAACAATTTTTCTGGTCGCTGAGATATAATTTGACATCACAAGTAGAGCAAAATGAGAACAATTTTCCATCTGAACGAAAAAACAGGAGAGGTACTATTTCCCTTGTGTCCACAACGCGAGACTACCAACTTTCTGGCGAGAAATAGAATTATTCTTCGATAGAATTTCAATTTTTCCACTACTATGACATTTTTCAATTAGTTTTCCACTAATTTGCAAAAAAACCTCACCTGCCATATTGAAATAGACGAAAAAATACAATGAAACAGTTGATTAGCAAAGGCAGTATGGAACTTGTTCATTAGTCTAATGTCTAAAACAAATGTCTTCTCTTGCGAATAAGCTGAAAAGTACGGGTTTCTATTAAGAGCAGGGACATTTGCGCATGCTCTTCAGAATGTACTTTTGTATAACACTTTTTGTTTTAACTCTTCAAACAACGACAACAAAAACAAAACAAAAACGGTATACGAAAATCACCATAACCCCAGGTAGAACATCATATTGGCTAGAACTTGGTTTCATATTAGCCCAATATTCGAATATTGAATATGGAATTACTAGATTGCACCAATATCAAACCAATTTTTCATTTCAATATTCGATCATCAATCCATTGCCAATATTTTAATAACATTGAAATTTTGTGATCAGCCGATATCAATTTGTCAATATTTATTTGATATTGGAGGAATAATAACGATCACAATATGTCAATTTTCATGATGGGCTGATATTGCATTTCCAATATCAAATCGATCTTGGAAAAAAATATTGACTCAATATCCAATTTATGATGGTTAGTGAATATTGCATTTCATTGTCCAGCAATGTTGTAATAACATTGAAATTTTGTTTCCAGCCGATATTTATTTACCAATATCTATTCGATATTGGTGAAATATTGACGATCACAATGTTAATTTCCATGATTGGGCTAATATTGTATTTCCAATATTGAATCAATCATGGAGAAAAATATTGCATTGATATCAGATTTATGATGGTTGGTGAATATTGCTCTTCGTTGTCCAGCAATATTGCACTGATATTGGTGATTCAATATCATTTCTATATTCAATAATCAATCCAGTGCCAATGTTGTAATAACATTGAAATTTTGTGACCAGCCGATATCAGTTTGCCAATATTTATTTGATATTGGCGAAATATTAACGAATACAATATGTCAATTTTCATGATGGGCTGATATTGTATTCCCAATATCGAATCAATCTTGGAAAACATATTGTATCAATATTTTGTATTTTTATTCAGCCAATATTAGTTCATCAATATGCGACCCATTTCAGATAGATATAACTAATGAAATATGCCAGAACCAATATTGCACTGACATTGGATTTCTAATATCGAATCGATATTCGTGATATTTCTCTTAGTATTTGAGCTACGTTATAACAGCTGGCGCCACTAGCACGCCTCCAACAAACGACTACTGAGAGACATCAAATACCGCATTCGTTCAACTTGCAAACTAAGTATTCTGGGATACAGGAAACGAAAATGGAATTGATATTGTACAAATATCGCAATTTTTTAATGAGGCTAATATGGCTTCGAATTCGAATTTTGATTTCGAGTTTTGTTGAAAAACGAAATTCAATATTGGTTGAATATTATAATTCAACATGAAGATATTATTGCAAAATAATCACATCCTCATTTTAGTCAATATAGTAGGGGAATATGAATTCAATATCGATTTCACATATGAAAATTATAAGAAACCAGTTTTCTATAAGTTGGCATCATATATTTGTCCAATCTTGTATACGAATATTAACTCGATATTGGATAGAGCATATCGAAACAAGATTGAAATTCAACATAGCACCAAGATTCCAGAATGTTCACATTGATTTATTGACCCAATAATTAAAATTAATATTTTCCCAACATTCACCATTTATTGACTCGATATTGAACCAATATTAGTGTTCTACCTGGGACCTTGGTTTGTCTTATCCGATTTGAAGGAACTTTTGATCGTTTGATAGGTAATTCAAAGTAGAATAAGAATACAACTTTAAATATTCTGGCAAATTCCTCAACAAACCACCAGATGTCGCTTTTCGTAATTGTTACCAATTATTGATGATTTCTCAATAATTTTGAATGTAATGACATATTTTTTAATGAAGTGAAATATTCTGCGACAGATTTGGAAAAGAATGCCGCAAACCGGAAGTCTCTAAAATTCTTTAGACGAAAGTTATGAATAAAAATGTGTTCAGAATATTCAAAATCGTACTCTTATTCTAGAGTATCAAGAGTTTATTCAAATCGGATAAAACAAACCGAAGTTATGGTGATTTTTGTGTACCGTTTTTGTTTTGTTTTTGTTGTCGTTGTTTGAAGAGTAAGAACAAAAATTGTTATACAAAAGTTTTAGGTATTGCCTAGGTGATGCAGAATACATAAAAAAATACCTACTTTTTCAAGAAAAATGAGTTTTCAAATTTTCAATCTGTATTACGCCACCTAAATATTTTGGTTCAATTTTTCTTGACTGTTTTACACAAGAAAGTTTTTTTCCTGAAACTGTGGGACCAATAGTTTCTGAGATAAAACTGGTCGATAGGCTAAATGGGACACCCGGTATATTAGGAAAAGATCATGTAGTGAAATGAAGGAATTAAACTCGATCATTTTGAATCTTGAGAAATCACGATTAACTAGACCTCAATAATTTAGAGCTGCTGAATTTGTTTTTTTAGTAGGTATATGCTATCAACTCTTTCAAGTTAATCCGGTACACCGCATTTTGATGTAGATATTGTGCCTATTTTCCTAAAACGAAGGTTTATCAAACCTTTCTACAGGTAATTCTTATCCTTGAGGATGGAAAAGTAGGATATTGAATTTCGGGAAGCCAATGTGAGTTCAGTTCATTGTACCAATATTTCACCTGAAGAAGCTACTGTATAAGCGAAACAACGAGTGAGTGATTAGGAATTTTGTGTAAATTTTATCGTTTGTGGAATTTTACATAAGCAAAATTTATTCCAGGGTGATTGACTATAGATTTCACGCTCTCAATATCCGATATTTTGAGAAATAATTGAGATATAGGAAATTTCAAAGCAAAATCTTGAATCAGATGATGATGATGATTTCTTTCGAATGGTGTTCTCCAAACATCATATAACAATTCCACATACGGTAGATGTGACATTGTTTGATTTTTTAAATGTATATTTTCCATTGCATATCTTGAAAGAAAGATTTTTGTTGATTGGAAAAAAAATTCGTACATTCCAGGTACACAGGATGAATCGAAGAAATATAACCTGAGATTGATTCAAATTTTGGTCATGGCATCATCAAATACGAAAAAAGATCGATTGCCAGTGGACGTGACAGTGAACTTGAATACAATTAGATAAATTAACGACCAGAATTTCTATCAATTTCAAGTATTATTTTTTCGAATCACCCAATATTACCCCATGGAATGTATGAAAATTATATATTTTTGTAATCAGGAGGAATCACTCTTTCAAAATATGCAATGAAATATAGGGTGTAACATTTTCACACCTTCCATATAATATAATAATGATAATCTTCATTATTCCTAAGAAACATATATTATGTTTATAGCAGGAAAACTTATGAAAGAGCGACTAAAAAAAAATTAATATACTTAATAAGATACTCATCATCAATCATTTTCGAATCATATACATAGTAGGTACATATAATGTTGTTCCTTTTAGAGACTGTTGAATATAAGTTCTTGAATTGATTTAGGATGGTATAAGAGAATCAAAGACTTTTCAGTTCTTCTTTTAATTTGTCAATACTTAGTTTCTTCTTCAGTCTGGCAGGTAATTCATGCAAGAGAATTGTGACATTGTATAAAATAGATCTTTCACCCACACCTGATTCAATTTTGATGAGTCAACATATCTTTTTGTCTGGTCATGTGTTCGTGTTTATGACTATTGACTCCAAAATTCAGATTCGAGTGTTTATAATTATATTTGACGGAATGGATGAAATTGGATATTCTGGATCTGTAAATGGAGTTGATATCTAACAATTGCCTAGGTTAATAGAGATTTCTTGTTGGTATATATATCTGAGGACTTCGTTTTGGAAGATTTTGATTGGCCTCATAATTGATAACCTACCTAGGGGTAGGAATAATTATCGATAATAATTTTGAGAAAAATTATCGATTTATCGATAATATCGATAAATCGATGATATCGATACATTATGAATATCGATAATCGATATTTCAAAATCATTATCGCCCACCCCTAAACCTACCTGTACCCCAAACTGAAATCAAGTATCGTAATTTTGGATAAGCCAAGGGAAATATATACATTCCAAGTATTTCAAAGTGATTTGGTGTCTAATCCTGTAGTACTCCGATTACTGGAGATATTTTCTCTCTGATCGATTCAATATGTTTGGACCATGACAAATGTTCATCAAGGAATATCCCAAGGAATTTGATGGCTGTGGAATATTTGATGATTTTATAGAATTAAATTTGATATAAAATTTCAGTTCACTTGAGAGGCGTCGTTTAGAGATATACATGAAGGCTGATTTGCTGCAATTCATACTCGATTCATTATAGGACAAACATGAAGATAAATCAATTGAGTCACTTTCAATTGCATTCCTGATTTGTTGGATTGAGTCTGCAGAATAAATCAATGTAGTGTCATCAAGGATCAAGGCTCCATTCGAATGAGAAGAACGTGTGACTCAAGATTTTGCTGTGAAGTTTTCAATATCCCAATTAGTTTCCGAGATATCCATTGTTGAAAGCGTGAAATCCATAGTGGATCAGCCATCCAGGAAATATATGATTCTGACTAACGGGTTAACAAGTGTGAGAAAATGTGCTGGTGCATGTTTGCTTCGGTGTTATTTGTACAGGAATTTTTCCCGTTCATAGAAAAAGCATTCGAAGCTTGCAATGTCTTTGAACTTACTAGTGGGTTCTGCTTCCTCTGGAAATAGAAGATTTTGTGTGATTAGTTGATTCGGTGTTCTAGTTTTGGGGTGAATATGAACAGCATGTGCGTGAGTATGGGGAAATTTATAAGGTGTAACAAAATTCAGTATCAGGATTTGAGAGAATCATTTTTTGAATCTTCGTTATCTACCAAACTTTGGAACGATATTAGATTATTTTACTCTTCATAGTTTTCAGTTTTCGAGATTTTCAGGTCGAATGTGAAACAGAAAAAATAATTTTACTGCGTATTTTGTAATTTGTATTAGAAGGCATTGAGAGTCCTGATGTATACAGTGTGTCCCACTTACCATGCTCACTATGGGTATCTTTTCAACGGTGAGAGATACGAGGTCGGTTAAATGACACCAAATGTGGAAATTGTCAAGGCCAACTATAATGTGAAGAAATATTTCGATGAAATCTATTCATTTTTATTTTATACGCAAAAAACAGATTTTGATAATCTTCATGTCTCCTCCGTAACTTCTTCATTTATGAAAATATTCAAATAGGAATTTTACATTCTCATGGCAGTTTTTTGAAGTGATTGCGAAAAAAATATGAAATTCATACCAACTCTTCTGGAATTCGAGATATCAGCACCAACTTCAGTTTTTCAAATGAAGGTCATAGCTCACTATGACTTAGTTACAAATAACTTCTTTTTCCCTCATAGATGATAATTATGTCGCAGAGATAGTTTTGTGTTGATAACAACGGAGTTATCGTCATTTATACAAAAACAAAAAATTATTTGGAAGCCGCCATCTTGAATTTATAAATTTTAACAGAAAATCATGATCTACGACCTCAGAAACCCCCACTTACCAATTTTGCATGGAATCGGACCAAATCTTGTCCGCCATCTTGGAGCAGTCATTTCTTTAATATCAACAAAAAATCCATAACTCCGATTAACTAGAAATTTATCAAGTGTTCATAATTCTGATGAAAAAACATTATGGAAGTTTTGTTGAAATAAAAAAAATGGCTGCTCCAAGATGGCGGACAAGATTTGGTATTTGAGGTCGGAGATCATGTTTTTTTTGTTAAAATTCATAAATTCAAGATGGCGGCTTCCAAATAATATTTTGTTCTTTTATAAATGACGATAACTCCGTTGTTATCAACACAAAACTATTACTGCGTCATATCATCTGTAGAAAAAAGAAGTTATTTCTTACTATGTCATGGTGAGCTATGACCTACATTTGAAAAACTAAAGTTGGTGCTGATATCTTAAATTCTAGAAGAGTTGGTATGAATTTCATATTTTTTTCGAAATCACTTTGAAAAACTGCCATGAGAATGTGAAATTCTTATTTGAATATTTTCATTAATGAAGAAGTTACGGAGGAGACATGAAAATGATCAAAATCTGTTTCTTGCGTATAAAACAAAAACGAATAGATTTTATCAAAATATTTTTTCACATTATAGTTAGTTGGCCTTGACAAACTCCACATTTGGTGTCATTTAACCGACCTCGTATCTCTCACCGTTAAAAAGATACCCATGGCGAGCATGGTGAGTGGGACACACTGTAGTCTACCATATCATGAGAATCCAACTTCCAACAAATCAACTGTATGAAGTAACCATCACAGTTTCTCTGGAAAACCAATAAGAGTATAGGTATAATCAATAATTTTGAATTTTGCATCATAATTTCTTCAAGATAAAATGCGCGAATCAAATCTCATATCATTGAGGACTTCTCGAATTCCTGATCATCATACCATATAAGAACTGAACAATAATATGACTTGTTCTATCTCGAAGTTGCAATTTTTTTAATTGTCCGGAGAGGTTCACATAATTATAATAAAGACGATCTCAAAATTGAATGAATCACATTATGATAATGTATTATGTACAGGGTCCTGCATCTCAACTTCCGTCTTCTATAGCTAGGTTATTGGTTGAGTTACAATGTTGTTATCTTGCTGACTATATCTGTATCATAGGGTATACTCACATACCAAGAACGTTTTTCCGAAAATACAGGCTTTCCTGAACAAGTGTGATGTCACTGAACTGATTTCAATAAAATTCCATAAGAATGTAAGTAATCACAAGAAGCACTCGATCGTATGTGCAACGAAATATACAGGGTGTTTCCGGGATCGGAGCCCTTGAAGAAATGGATAATAGGAGACGAAAGAACGAAACGAGATGAGTCAATACATTTTTGTGAAACAAATATTTTGGGAGATATTATGGGTATCAAAGTTTGCCTGAAATGTTTTGTAAATCATTGATCGAAGGTTTTAGCCCAACCCAAGCGTTTGCTTCCAGCAAAATCACAAGCACCAGAAGTATCAATGGCTTTTGCAATGTTGCCGGACGTTCAATAATAGTTGAAAGATGTAGTTATGATGGGAGCTCACATTTTTTGAAAAATATTTGAAAAAAATCATCTTGTGATTTATCGTATCATCATGTCTCATAAAGCATCCCTGTATAGCACGAGACTATGACGTCACACTGTTTGGGACACTCTGTTTGATCGTGCGACTAACGACAGAAGTAAACAGATTTCTTACCTAACTAAATACTTGAATTTGAAGACGGGTTTCACTGATAATTTGCCAAGAGTTTCGCTATCAGGTTTCTGAAAGGTATATTTTCCCAAAAATTCATGGTATTATGGGAATTTACATTCCAGATTCATTTGCTTCAATTTTTTCAGAACTACAGGGTGATTAAAAAAATCTGACCTTCTTGCTATGCTAGATAATACACTGCAAAAGAAGTTGGGTTTGCTCAGTAAAAAATATCGTTACGGCATCCATTTTCCAGATACAAGGTGTTGAAAAAAATGTTTTATTTTTTACATATTTTTTATGATATTGTCGAAACTGCTAGCAACGTTGTTATGAAATTCCGTATGGATGTGTTTCGGAAGCTGACACATCGCAATAATTTGTGTTTATATTTGACTTTCTGAGAGGGCGCAAGTTACATGGTTCGTACAGAGTAGTTTTGAACATAACTTTTTCATGGTTTCATTTTTAAATCCGAATTTGATGTGAACTTGAACATAATTGAATTCAACAACGAACAGTACCTTCGATAAAACTTGATACTTTGTACCGTTTCCGCAATATATGTATAGATTTGAGAAAAATGGAGTGATATAGCTGATGCTGGCATAACACAAATTCAATTGAGATCAATGATCAATTACCTATTCATTTTGTTTCAAAAACAATGACATTTTTCTAGTGATGAAGTTTTTGATTGAACAATGAATCACAAGTGAAAAATTGAGAAAAATTTTACTAAAAACATAAAATATTGAATCAGTTAGAGTAAGTGTTCAAAATGTCCTCCGTTTCCACGAATACAAGATTTTATATTTCTTTCTTGATAAAGCATTATTGTAAGACTACAACAAATTGATAGCTGGTTGGATTTAGACAAATTATAATAAACTGTATTTTTCCTTTTCATTTTTCACTAATAACAGTTCAATATCATGAAAAATATCTGACACTGTCAATCAAATCGAAAATACAGGGTCATCTTCATCAAAACTGATAACAATCTCATTCACAATTATTCTTCTGAACGGTTGAGAATCAGTTCCTAGGTCATTTGAGTGATGTTCAATTCTGTCTTGGAACTCTTGACGTTAATTCATCTCTGTGTATTTTTTTGCTTGAGATACAACGAAACTGTGTAATCCATGTTTTCAGTCGAATTTGTTTCAATGTTATTCATGTGATTCATTGTCTTATCAATGAGTTAAGTATTTGAAATGAATTGTTGTTCTCAGTTTTCAATGAAAAGGCGATAGTTTTTCATATTATTAACTTTAATACATAGCTTCATATTAGCAAACAGTTATCACTTTATCATTTTCTGATTGAAATATTCCGAAAACAAAACACAGTATCAAGTTCTACACAGAGTACCGTTTTGGTGTAAATTGAATGGTGTTTCAGATCACATCGAATTTTGATAGAGAAATCCAACCTCAAAGAAGGTATGTCTAAAATAACTCGATATGAACCGTGTAACTACCGCCCTCTATGAGAGTTAGATATAAAAACAACAAACAGCTTCCAAGATACATCCTCACAATGTTGCCAGAAGTTTCGACAGAATCGTGAAAGATGTGTGAAAAAACATTTGTTCAGCAGCTTGTACCCATCTTGAAAACGGATGCCGTTGCGACATTTCTTTGTTGAGCAAACCCCACTCATTTTGCACTGTTCTACCTACCCTAGCAGGGGGGGGGGGCAGGTGTTGAAACACACTGTATATCTTCAACAATCGCGAATGAGTTCTCATATCCTATTTCCGCTCGATATACTCACTTATGGTCTTCATCCTAGCCTCAGCGCTGCACTCCCCCTGATCGTTCGTCGCCGTCACCTTGTAGTACCCCTCGTCAGACAACTTGACCTCGTGGAACACCAACTTGTACGTCCTATTGGCCTTGTCCTCGACGATTTCAACTCCTTCCCCCTCCACCACTCGATCGTCCTTGGTCCACACGACCTTTGGCTCTGGATTGGCCAGCACCGTGACCTTGAACAAGGCCGCCTCGCCAGGCACGACGGTGACGTCATCAGGGCCGTCGATCTCCGGGCGCATGACGATGGTGAGGTGGGCGCTGGACTCGCACTCGCCCCACCTGTTGCGCGCCTTGACGGTATAGATGCCAGAGTTAGAAGAATCACCTGTTGAATTATTGAAGTTGTCATCGAATAGACCTTTTTCATGTTTAGTTCAATGAATAAAGGGAAAAAGTTAACATTAATTACGCACTATTTTCATCTTCCGGTTGGAAGTAGCTTTTGGTATAGTTTATCCAAAAACAATTGCAGAATTTTCTGCCGCACCTGCAGTCACTTCAAAGGAAACTTCAAACACGCCGACGCCGCACAGTGCAAGGTATTCTGCAATTGATAATGGATATACTTCACCTCATCAAACTTGAGACAAAGTTTGACTGGAGAACGCGTGCGATGGCGGAGAAAATGGCCCCAAAAGACCAGAAAGATAGGTTTTCAGCCAATATCTCCTAAAATATGGCAGTTAGAGATTTTCGGTTTCGATAAAAATTGGAGTTCAGTTAATTTCCAACAAAAATGGTCCCCGTCATTTTCCTCGAAAATTCGCCCGGTTTCAAGAAAAACGGCACGATGCGCACCTCGAATAATGAGCTTCTGTGTTGTATGCCGGAGAGCACAGTCCGTGTACTTACACATCGGCGGGGGGACAAATTATTCAATAACTTTGTTGAAAATGCATATTTTCTCATGATTCAAAGTTCATGTGGAAGAGGAATTCTGCTGCTATCATATTGATTGAGTCACGTTTGACTCTTTTGGCCATATCGGAACATGGGTCAAACTTTCTGCTCCCGGTCAATTTTGAACTCGCCAGGAATTTGTTCCTATTATGTTTGTATTGCACTAATTTACTCAAAATTCTCTTGATTATGGGTCCTCATGAGGTCCTTCGTCATCCCTGAGATTTATATACCCTAATTTTTTTTAAATTTTCATTTAATCTTTGTTTATTGAATCCCAATTTTTTGCTGTTTTTGGAGCGCGGGGAAATTTTGAATTTGAAACAACCATCAATTAAAAATTGATACATGATCCGATTGGTTTCTATGATACATCATTTGAAAGCTAAGAAGGTCTACTTTTTGATTGTGCAATTACTTTGTTAGACCAAGTCGTCCATTTCTCAATGAAATTAGAAAAAGCGGGGTCAAGGAAAAAACGCACTTTTTTTTTGGTGTTTTTTTTTCTCCGTGCTATTTATTCGTAACATTTCAACACCTTAACTAGTGTAACGGGGAAATTCTCACCTTTCCATCGATGTATATAAGTCATACCTTTGATATCCCGGGAAAAAAACCAGTATATCTAAATGTACACGCTATAATTTATTACTTTCGTTCCTCCGTCGTTCTACGTGGCGCTCGGGTCGTCTGCTACAAACCATGCGGCCACGCAGGGTATGATAGCAGCAGAATTCCTGTTCCACATGAACTTTGAATCATGAGAAGATATGCATTTTTAACAAAGTTATTGAATAATTTGTCCCCCCGCCGATGTGTAAATACACGGACTGTGCTCTCCGGCATACAACACAGAAGCTCATTATTCGAGGTGCGCTTCGTGCCGTTTTTCTCGAAACCGGGCAAATTTTCGAGAAAAATGATAGGGAACATTTTTGTAGAAAATTAACTGAACTTCAATTTTTATCTACACCGAAAATCTCTAACTGCCATATTTTAGGAGATATTGGCTGAAACCTATTTTCCTGGTCTTTTGGGGCCATTTTTTCCGCCATCGCACGCGTTTTCCAGTCAAACTTTGTCTCATGTGTAATGAGGTACCAAAAGCTACTTCCAACCGGAAGATGAAAATAGTGAGTAATTAACGTTAACTTTGCCGTTTTTTCCTCCTTCATTTATTGGACTAGTTCTGGTTCCCACGAAGAGGGATATCCTGACCTGCATCTGGACATACAGGGTGTCAGGAAATTATGCGCTAGAAATCAAGGGGTTGATTTCGGATCAAGAATTTAAGGAAATATCTCATATATGTGTGGTTCTCAAATATCTTTCCACCGATTTTCTTGAAATTTGGCTGATTATCATATATTCGAATTTGAAATCCAGTGGCGTCCCGGGGGGCATCCTACCAAATATTATTATCAATAACTGATTATTTTGAATGAGCTGTACACAATAGTTGTCAACCAGTAGCGTAGTTAGGGTGGTATATCGCCACATTTTCCTTCATATCACTCCTAAGACAGATGAATGAATGGGCGTGTACACCTTAGTAGAACTTTTAACTCAAATCATGTTTATGATGATCCTCTTATACATAAATAATGATTGACGACATAATTCGATCGAAAAATTAACTGGAATGTTTTATTTTCGGACATAAATGATAGTACCTTCTGAAAACGGACCCTCTTATGACGTAGAAACCTCATCTCGCCATATTCCGGAGGTGGGAAAGTGATATTGATATCTCGTATAATATCAGCATTATGCGATTATGGTACGCAGCAAATTAGGCCTCTACTCAATATTACCTCCAGAAAAGTTTTTCGCAAATATCCCCGGAACCTTTACATCTAGGCATTCAGAATATCATTACTTTCAGGTTGAGTATTGATAATCCTAAATAATGTCATTCACTAATTTGATGATTCATCTGTCTGAGAAACATTGAAATGAAGGGCCATGTGGCGATATACGACCTTTACTACGCCACTGGTTGATAACATTAAAAAAAATGAGAACTTCCTATGATGACTCTGATTCAAATTCAAATTTTTTTGCTACAGGCAGAAATTTAGAGAAATCTTAACTTTTTTCGTAATTTCGACACCCTGTATCTCAGTGAGGATGCATTTCAGGACATACGTTGAATGAAACTTTTCACCTCATAATGAGGCGAGGAATCCGTGAACAAAGTTGATTGAAAAAGATTGAATGCAACACGTGGGTTGAGTGATTTTTCTATACTTTCTAAAGAACTACACCGTTTATCTATAAACAATTAACTCACATCTTGGGATGGTTAATGAATACGTGCATTCATTCAATCCATCCTCGATTTCATGGTCTTCAGTTTCTAGAATCATCTTGTTGTTTTCGAATTCTTCATTGGTCATTTCTCTGCCGTTGCAATACCTATTGAAAAAAATTGTAGATCAATATCATGAATATGTTACTCAATCATATCATTACCAGGCAACATCTGGAACAGGATCTCCCACTATCACAGCTTTGAATGTTACAGAATTCTTCTTCACAATCGTTTGATTCTTCAGCCCTTCTTTCAATTTCGGTCTCCTCAAATCTTTTTCCGCTGGAAAATAATGCATTGTCATGTAGTCAATATTTTGTTATCACTTCTGAATGAATTGACATTGGGGAAAACTGTGAGTGATACAGATGGAGACCAACATGTTCGCATTCCTATACATACAGGGTGTCCGGAGATAAAACCGACAAGACTTGTGGGGTTATAGGAACTGTCAATATGATTGCAAAATGCCATAAACCAATGTCCAAAACCGCTTCGTTATTGACATACAGAGTGATTTGTGGATTTTGACAAAAAATTCAATCCGCCATATCAAATACAGGGATTAACCGATTAGATTCAAATTTGGTACACGAATTACACTGAAAAGAATCAACAAGTAGCCCTTTGATCGAAACCAATATCAGGACCGGAATGATATTTTTCCCCTATGTTGAGTTATTGTGACAATAACTCACGCTGTATGATAATAACAAAAAATGTCAACTCAGATTCGACATCTACGGTAAAAATTGTATAGGAATTTGTTGAAAAATCTCTTGGCACTATCTTAGTTATTCCGTAATTAATTATTATTTTAATTTTTTTCCTTTCAAAATTTGATCATTGTCGGATAAAGTACTATCAAAATTGGTAATATAATAAATATTAACGAAACCATGACATGACATGAATATCTGTATTTTCTTCAATCAGTCCGTGAATCGTAGTAAAATAAAATACTCTTATTACCCGAAAAAACTGAAAAATAAATTCGTATCAGGACTGGAATGCACGATGTTCTCTGAACATTATAGGGATTCCCTTTCGTGCGTTCCAAGCGATGAAAAAAAAAATATTCCTGTAAGAAAAGATGATCTAGGATAACAATGATCTGATCGCAGATTCGAAATGCACTGAGAAAAGTTAAAAACTTGTTGAAAAATGATCGGATTGAATTTTCAAATAATAAATCAATATCAGTACCTTATAATATTTGTGTATAAAGAATACTAGGCTTGTGTCAAATTCAGAATTTCATTATGGAAAACCATTGTTCAGCTGTCATCAGCGTTTGTTTTATTGGTGTTCATTCATTATTCCAGTGTTTTTAGGATCAAACTATAGTTCTGAGAGTGTGCTTATGATGCCGTTTCATTTCACTTATGAGTAATACGCAGATATTCTATTTGTGTTTGGGATTTAACTGGTGATGTTTACCTAAATTTCCTGGTCCATACTTGACCGGATCTTTTGCAAGGTGTAAAAACCTGAGGTATATGGTTTCAGCATGATGGTGCTAGACCTCACTTTTCAGTTCCAGTTAGAAACCATCTCGATGCCAATCACCCCAATAGATGGATTGGCCGTGGAGGTTCAGTAAAGTGGCCACCGCTATCCCCTGATCTAACTCAGCTAGATTATTTTTTATGAGGTCATTTAAAGTAAGAAGTTCATAATGAAGGAATCTTTTATGGGAAATTACTGCTGCATGTGTTAGTGTTAGAAATTACCCTCAAATAATTCGCAAGTCAGTGAATCATCTAATAGCACGCTCTCAAAAATGTATTGATGTTGGAGGGCTCCACTTCGAAAATGTTTTGTAATACTGGTTAGTGAAAGTTTTTCACGAATTCGTTGCTTTTGTTATGTTCATTACAAACAGTTATTGTTCGTTGTGTAGTATTTTCATAAATTCAAATTCATTAGTGAGCGAATATAATTTACGAAAACTTCACTGTTATCCTTCTTTAAAAGGTTCTTATACGATTTTTTTAGATTCCGAATCTACGATCAGATTATTGATAACTATTGATGTACTAGGTCAGCTAACATGACCAAACGAAACACTCATTCCAGTCCTGATACGAATTTATTCTTCAATTTTTTCGGGTTATGAGAATATTTCATTTTACTCCGATTCATGAACTGATAGAAGAAAATAACGACATTCATGTCATGGTTTCGTAAATATACGTACTTTATCCGACAATGATTGATTTTTCAATGAAAAAAATCAAAATGATAATTAATTACGGAATAACTAAGATGGTGCCAGGAGATTTCTCATCAAATTCCTATACAATTTTCACCCTAGATTGCGAATCTGTTTTTGGTTATTATGATACAAGGTGAGTTATCCTAACAATAACTCAACATAGGGGAAAAATATTATTCCGGTCCTGATATTGGTTTCGATCAAAGGGCTGCTTGTTGATGCTTTTCAGTGTAACTCGTTTACCGAATTTGAATCCAATCGGCTAATCCCTGTATTTTATATGGCGGATTGAATTTTTTGTCAAAATCCACAAATCACTCGGTATCTCAGTAACGAACCCGTTTTGGACATTCGTTTATGGCATTTTGCAATCATATTGACTGTCCCTATAACGCCATGAGTTTTGTCGGTTGTATCTCCGGACACCCTGTATAAACGACTTATTCAGAACATACTTGCCGACCTGTCTCGTTCAGATAAAGTAATACAATATTATGTATATTAATTGAGATGGTATCTTAGGTATCCGTTGGGTAGGAATCCTGAAATCTGCTAAAGCGAGAGATATACTGAACATTTACTCTATGACCAAGTATGGTCATCTTCAGTGATATACACTGCTCGCCCATAGCCATTGAACCACCCCGATTTCCGGAAAATGATATTATGAGTCGAAATAGGTTGAAATTTTGGATTCGGAATCAGGATGCCGATTGACTACCTATTCAAAGTTTTCCTGAAAAATTTTCAGTTCTGAGAATATAATTTTTCATGGAAACACTCCCGTATCTGGGCGTCGCCCTTGCTCCTCAGGTAAGGCTCTAGCCGTTCGATATCTGAAGTGAAACAGTGTCGAGCGCGGTTAGTACTTGGAAGGGTGACCATTCGAGGAAACGCGTAAGCCCGTACATCTGTAGCGGAATAGCATATCATAGCTACAGCTACCATATCAATGAGCACAAGATATGGTATGGATATGCCGTCCTTCGGAGGGGACGTTAAGAGGGGCGTTACCAAGGTCATTTCACAATGGCTGGAATGCAGACCTCTACTATGAAATGACTTTCGGCGTTACCAAAAGTCCGATTGCCAAATAAATTGAATAATCATAAAGACGAAAGTTCCGACTCGGGTTTGGATAGTTTTGAAGGCAAATTTTGTTCGATTAAGGAAGCTGCAGAAGATCAAAAAGATGTAAACATTGTAAAATTTTGTGTCTCAGAATAACGTTATATTCACTCATACCCAGCGTTATTTTTTTGGGCAACCCACACTAGAATTTCAGCTCTTGAAATGTAACCATTCAGATGAAAGTCTTTTTTATATACAATTTATGTAAACAATAGGCCTATACCGGGTGGCTACGGAAGTATTGCCTACGGAATATCTCAGTTATTGTATGAAGTAGGTTTGTGAAATTTGGAGCGTCGATATAATGACATAAGAGCTAGAATTTGAGCATATTGACATGTCGAAGTTAACTTCCGGTCTGACCGGAAGTAACATCAACTTTCTTATTTTAAATGGAAACCCTATTTTTTTTCTCTTCGCTTTATTCAGCATTCAATTCCCTTTCTAATGACATATCACAAGTTGGTATCTAACCAGAAACTAGATCAGAAAAAAATATTATTCAAATTCACCGAGTAGGCCGTGGAAGCAAAATGAAAGCCAAAAAATGACTTTCTATTATATCATTAGAAAAGAATGGTTATGCTGAATAGTACAGGCAAGAAAAAGTTGTATGTTCCTATTCAAGTTATGGACCTACAGAGTATTGTTTTTTTCCAAATTTTTCCAATATTTTTTTTGGCGGCTTTTTATAACGCCGACGAATGAAAATAAAATATCACAGTGGTAGCAACTGTCATCAAGTGACGTATGGTTGCCATAGTCAACTTTTCAATTTTTGGCTTTCATTTTGCTTCCACGGCCTACTCGGTGAATTTCAATAATAATTTTTTTCTGATCTAGTTTCTGGTTGGATACCAGCTTGTGATATATCATTAGAAAGGGAATTGAATGCTGAATGAAGCGAAAAGAAAAAATAAAAGGGTTTCCATTTAAAATAAGGAAGTTGATGTTACTTCCAGTCAGACCGGAAGTTAACTTCGACATGTCAATATGCTCAAATTCTAGCTCTTTTGTCATTATATCGACGCTCCAAATTTCACAAACCTACTTCATACAATAACTGAGATATTCCGTAGGCAATACTTCCGTAGCCACCCGGTATATCTTGCATGCATAATATCTTCTCTAAATTAGATGGTAGAAAACTTGAATATCGTAGTTCAGGTACTCTCTGCTAGATGGAGGTACCATCGCAGCAGTCGGCTCTTGAAGCATCTAATCTAGTACGTTTTGCGCGAACTGGATGATGTACCATTAGATGGAGCTCAAAATGTAAATAGTTTGTTATTTGTTCAAGAATGCCTTTGCATGTTCAAGGTTGTCGAATATTGAGCAATAGCAAACATTTATCACTCATTTTTTAATTCACGAATAGTTATTTTGAGTTATCCTTTCTTTAAGTCAGTTCTTGTTTTAGTTCAGTAATCAGTTCAGTATGGTCGTTGATTGTTATATTACGCTCACGCTTATATCAATCAACGACTTAACTATGTTGAAAATAATATGATTCATCATTTATCCATCTATCGGCTGGAATTGTGAGTAAATGTTCTGTCAGCCGTCATTAGGCTTCGAAAAATTGAAGAGCTCTGCAATGAATTTTCAAAATGGCGTAATTAATTTATGATTTCTTCACCGTAGTGACATCTTGCGAGAAGGTCAGCGTTAAAATGTGGAGGACCGTCTTAAGCCGGCAGTCCCGAGGTCATGGATGTTGGACTCGTTAAAGATCCCTACCTCTGGTTGGAACACCAGAGGATTCGGCAAAATTTCCGGTTGGAGGTGATTAGCCTCAGTAGCAGAAAAAGGCCGACGTTAAAGAAACGAATATAAAAAAAATACCCCCGTATCTTAGGTAATCGTTGGATGAGGATCGTGAAATTTGCTGAAGTGATAGATACACCAGATATGTACCGAGTATGGTCTTCTTCAGTAATATACACTGCTCGCCAACAGCCATGGAACTACACCAATTTCCGGAAAACGATATAAGGAAGCAAAGTAGGTTGCAAATCACTCCGAATTCAGAATCAGGACGCTCAGTCCATCAACTCCTCATACTTTTCCTGGAAAAAAGGTCTGAAAATTTCATTTTCGTCTCACTTTTCATGGAAACACCCCCGTATCTTACGTAATTATCGAATAAGGATTGTTGAATTTCCAGGAGCAAGAAATATTCCGAAAAAACAGTCTATGACCAATTGAAATTACTATCAGGGATATACACTGCTCGCTAACATCCATGGAACCACCTTCATGTCCGGAAAATCAGGCTCAGAATGTCGTTAGTCACTGTTTTGGACAGTGTTCCAACCATCAGTTTACTGTGTCTTCGTCCTGGGACATTGTTTCAGTATGCCTGATATCTTTCTTGCATCCACCTTGCCAGCCAGCCGCGTATTGAGGTTTTGGGGATACCGAACACAGGTTCTGGTCCCATAAACAACGCCGCAGACCCTTGCCTAGCAAGAGCGTCAGCTGCTTCATTGCCTCCATTTCCCTTATGCCCTGGCACCCATTGAAGAGTTACCTTGTTGTGGTTAGCCAGGGTAAGCAGGCTCTAAAGGCAATCCCAGACCAGTTCTGATTTTATTGCATGTTGAAGATTGAATGACCGCCTGACTATCTGAGCATATGAGGATTTGTTTACCTCTGTATCCTCCTACAATATTCTCTCTTAGGCATGCCTCAACAGCATGCACCTCTGCCTGAAATACTAAAACATACCTCCCCAAGGAAACACAAATCCTGGTTCTGAGTCTACCTCCATATATTCCGGCTCTCGTACCCTTATCAGTCTCAGAACCGTCAGTGTACCTGACCTCACTTGGTCATAGATTGCATTTTTGATACAGCAAATTCCAGGATCCTCACACAATGATTACGTGAGATACAGGGGTGTTTGAATCAGAAGTAAGACACACTGTATAGGAATGCCATATAGGGAGCGGTACATGTGAAAAAATAAAAAAAATAATCGAAAAGACCTCTGTGCCCCGATGCTTCGTCGTGCCCCACTCTCCCCTACTTACGTGTCACCTCCAGAACAGCCCGCTGCTTGACATCCCCCAACGGATTGCTCAGGACGCACTGGTACACCCCTCCGTCCTTCATCTCCAGTTTGCTGATCTCCAACTTGAATTCCTCCCCGTTCTGGGATGTGGTCATCCTGAGATGCCCATCCGCTCTGATCTCTTTGCCGTCCAAGGTCCATGTGGCTACTGGGGGAGGATTGGCGAATCCTCTCACGATGTAGGTCACCTCCAGGGACTCCGGCCTCGACCCATCCTTCATATTGGTGTCCAAGATGATTGGTAGAGCTAGGAAATCGAAATCATTTCATTTGTTCATGTATTTCAGAATTTAAAATCCATTCAAATTTTCAACTCCAAGTTGACTGACATAATATGACCTTTGTCACTAGTTCACACTTATTGCAGGACAGTTCAGTATCTCTAGGCTGATGATGGGCTCAGCAAAAGCCCGAAACATGTTCGTCTTATCGTAACATAACCATGTTAGCCTATCAAATGCCGTGGAGATCACTCAGAGGTTTTTTCTTTCCATAATTATTACCATTACGGACTTCTACATACATATATCATTTCATTGAAGAGAGAGTGATCAGAAGGAGTGTCACTCAATCAGCGAATTTAGGGATTACCGCAGTATGAGAAAGAGAAAGAGTACAGCTTTGCGGAACAATTCATCACAAGGCTAAGCAGCAAAAAAGAATCGATCAGTGAATGGGCGTGTACACCTTAGTAGAACTTTTAACGCAAACCATGTTTATAATGATCCTTTTATGCATTAATAATGATTTACGATATATTAATTCTTTCAACTGTGATCTCGCGCTAATTCACTCTGTCAGAAATCATGTATCATTCATCTCTGTCTTGAATAGTCTTGTTTCAGTACTACGGTTTTGACGTCACATCATCGCCTCATTTTCAGAGGTCCAAAAATCAAGGATTTCAATAATTTTTTATAAAACGTAGGGAGCTCACTGCAAGAAACGGTTTGCGGTGGTGAACTAAATAGTTTGGGTGACTTCTAACGAATTATGCAATGAAATTTTTTTGTGATATAAGCCTATTGATGGGTATTGAGCTCGAAGAAAGGACCATAAAGTGATACCCAGATGGCTCCAAAACCAGAGGTAGAACTGGAATAGAAGTCTACGGGCTCCCTACCTAGTACTCCTGGAGCCTTTTAGAATTCACAAGCATAATCCAAGCGAAACATTGAAGCGCTGAGGTTTATTGTTATCAGCTTCGGGATAGTTTGTGAATGCTGAGAAGAACTGAATGACATAGCCAACATGAATACAATCGTCCTCCCGTTGGTTGTGGGACATGTCGCAGGGTAGAAGGACATGAAGTAGCGGACAAACTTGCTAGGAAGAAGCTCAAACACACTTCATGTAATCAGCAGTAGTACTGTATATGAAGGAATTATAAAAGGGGAGAGCTAAACAGAGATTATATCTCTAGAAAAATCTCAAAAGTGTCAAGCTGGCTAAATTACTACTCGATACATATAATCACAAAATATCGACTGAATATATCTGCTGATTTCTTCCAACTTGAACTCCTAGCTTAAGTGGAACACGGTCATCCTGAGATGGCCATCCGCTTTGATCTCCTTGTCATCCCAGATCCAGGTGGCACATTGGCGGATCTCTTCATGTTGTAAGTCACTCCCAGAGACTCCGGTCTCGAATCGTCCTTCATATTGGTCTCCAAGATGATTGTTAGAACTAGGGAAATAGAATTTTATTACTTTTCCATCTCTCATTCTCTTCGATTTTTTCTTTCTTCATATCATCAGGTAGTTCAAAGTTATGAACCAACTCCCCAGGAGTCAAGACTTGTGAGTCCCTTTTTGCTAGTGGTTATTCATTATACGAGGAGAAAATTTATACATTTCAGCTCGAGGTTGTGTTGTCTCCCGACGCTTACCTAGAAAGCCTTGAATAAATTCCAAGCATATTTCAAGCGGTACATCCCACAATAGGAACATGTGTACTGTTCTATCAAGAAAAAAGCGTTATGGTAGACGAGATATCATTCTTATGTCCAATCGAGCAACCATCGAAGCGCTGTGCTCTATGGATATCAGCTCTAAAATGGTTTGGTATTTTGGTAATGTCGAGAACAAAAATACAGTCATCCTTCTATGGGTTTCGAGATATTCCGGAGTAGAAAGACATAGAATAGTGTACAAACTCGTTAGGAAAACAGCTCAAACAAACGTAGTGAGACCAGCAGCAGATTTGTATCTTATACAAATATGAAAGGACAAGCTGAAAAGAGATCAGAGGTCCAGGAAGATTTCCAAGGTCTCGAAGAAGCTGAATTCTACTAGAGTCCTAATAGGGCACTGCCAATTGAAAGGACATCTTTGCCTTAGAGAAGGAAAATAATTGCAGGTTTTGTGGAGCAGGAGCAAACCTCTATCCACATACTTAACAGATATGATTGAGGAGAAGGAGCTACCCTACATAGAACCACCTATTATTCCGAATGTTTTTAGGCAGATTGCCCTAGAAAAAAAGGAATTGGAAAAAACAATCAATCTAGACAACGGAGAAAATAGAAACGAAAACTCTCCTTGAACTGCCAACTAGAATAAAATCCTACCATGGGTCAAATTCTTGAACCCCATGTAAGCTTCTTTATTCGAATGAAAAAAGATGTATGGAGAAAAAAAAAGGTGCGCTCAAACAGATATAGTTGAAAAAAAAGCACCCCTGATCGATGATTCGTAATGTCAACGGATATTCATTGCGAGTTTACCTTCTGTAAATATGTATCTAATGAGAAATATCCTTCGGGCTAACTTTCATCAGTGCTTCTGATATCCAGATTCCCTACTCAAATGGTTCAAATCATCAACAATTGAGATTTCCATCTCTCAATCCATTCAGCTAGGTGAAAAAATAAGATACATTGGTGCGATCGAATATGACTAGGAACGTGATCTCAGTGTATCTACTGACGTCTTCTAGCAATACTGACAATACCATCAGAAGTTGATTGTCTAGTTAATAACAAAGAATGGGGTAGAATGTCTACTATATTCGCTCGCTACCATTAAACACGATAGGGATCGCGAAATATGTTACATTCCACAAGAATTATTCAATGTATTCGATATTTCATGATTTATTATGAGCAATGAGATTTTTTCGCCAAAAAGTGGAAATATTTTGGTGAATATGTCAAATCACGACATGTTGTCCATTTTTGCAGCAACAATAAGATGGGATTTGACAGAGAAATTCTTACCTTGATATCACATCAAATTCGTTACTCAAATCCTGTGTTACAAAACATTGCTTACCTTGCGGTTTGCGGAGATTACTAAGCTTGACTTTCTAGCTGCTGTTAGTCACTGACATTATGGAAATTGCGTTAACACACGAAGCTGATTCTTAAGTGGACAGTGTTTCTGTGTTAATACAAAGATGAGTATTATACATTGGATTATAAGGGTCTCCCAAAATTGCTGGGACACAGAGCTACCACCTGTAATACAAGTCAAAATAAGTTGATTGGACCCAATTTATTTATACAACAAAATGTACCGTTTGTCCATGAAAAGAGTCCAAAGTTCACCTAAAAAAACACATTTCGGTACACAAATGAGTGAAACATATTGGATAACATTCGACAAAAGTGCATTTTAGAGGATAACCCTTCTCTTAGCTATCGAAGGAACCCAAAAGAAATTGTAGAAGGGATGAAACCACCCTCACCCTTCGACATTTTTCCCAGAATATTCTTAGGGTGGGGGAGGGGGGGGTGGAACGATTTCCAAATTTTCTGAGCGAGATGACTGGTCAATCATCATCATTTCGTCAGCCTTGTGAAAATTTCAGATTGCGCATTGTGCCGAAGGAAAATAATGTTTTCTTGAATAGGGACACCAAGCATATTATTCCATATCAAGTAGAGTCCATTATTACAAATTCAACAACAATGCCGGGTTTGGTGGGATTTTTTCAAACGACTACGAAGATATGACAAAACATTTATATGATTAGAATTTATTAATATAACACGCTTGAAATCGAATTAAATGAAAATGATTAAAATCTCAACTGCTCAATATGTCGTCCATTCTGCTGCAAAAATTTCCTAGCTATTTTGAGAACGTTTATTGTGACCCTATGTATCACGTTGCGCATAGATTTGTGATTTTATCTTTCATTTCTTCCATATTCACAATTGGCGACTCATAAACCTGTTGTTTCAAGTTGCCCCACAAATAAAAATCAAGTGGGGTGAGGTCTGGCAACCCAGCTGGCCAGTTGTTATCACCATTTTCTCCAAATCGATGGCAAAGATAATCCTTTAGTAGTTATGTATCGTTTTATTTTTTGCCATATCTTCGTAGTCGTTTGAAAAAATCACATCAAACCCAGCATTGTTGACTTTGTAAAAATGAACTTTACTTGAATATGGAATAATATACTGGGTGTCCCTATTGAAATAAGAAAGTTGAGGTGCACTTCGGTGTGACCCTGTATACTTACGATTTATTCAATAGCATATTTCGAGTGAGCATCTTCGAATATACTGAGTGACCAAATTTCAAGTCATTCGATCGCGCGGTTGATTTTCAACAGGGGGAGACATTTCAGCTGGGACACGGTGTATATTCCTAGTGGAAGTTCAATATCATAATAATGAAAAATATAGTTTACAGTAGAAACTGTGGCCGCACGTTTCTTTCATAACTGATGTTCAATATGGCGCCCACAATTTGTCTGTTTCCACTGCTAAATAATTTCACCAAACTTCTACTAGTAATATTTGTCAGCATTATTTATTTGAACTATCATTTTTTCGGGACTATGCGGATTACGCCACGAAAGTAACAAAATGAGAATAATTAATCAGTCATCTCACTGAAAAAAATTCAGAACACTATTATCACCCCTAAGAATATTCTGAAAAAAATGTCAGGGGGTGAGGGTGGTTTCAACCTTCTACAATTTCTTCAAGGTTTCTATGATTACTGGAAAAAGGTTTATCCTCTGGAATGCACTTTTGTGAAAATTTCATCCAATCTGTTTCACCCATTTTTGAACAGCGCACAAAAATATGTTTTTTTTATTCAAACTTTGAACTTGTCTCACTGACAAACGGTACCCCAGCAATTTCGGACACCCTGTATATCAACAAGAGTATTAATGTGTTAAAAGTGTAGTCTACGTATGTCTACCTTCAATATTTTCACTCTTCTTCACGGACATTTCTTCAATCAAGCTCCTCTGCTTCTGTGCTTTTCTCAACAACTGTTCGGTTTTTTCATCAACATCTTCTAAATCTTCCTTCTTTCCTTTCTGACTGATTTGTCTCTGTACATGCATTTCTTTGGGTTTATCTGCTGAAGCATTACTCGTATCGTTATCTTTCATTTCAGATCTTTCAATTGTCGCTTCTCTTGCAATTTTAGGTGTCTTTCCAAGGGAGTCTATTTCCGTTTCGAGCGGTATCAGAGGTTCAGTCTTCAGAACATCTTCATTGATTTCTAGTTGCTCTTTGGTAGCGGATTGACCTCTCATAAGTTTTCTATTTACGTTGATATCTGTCACCTCAACTGGCTTGGCATCGACTTCTGCTGTGGGGATTTCTTGAACTACTTCTTCTTCTTCAAATACTTTGGCAGCTTTCTCGAAAACTTTAGTGTTTATCTCTTTTTCTTCTATAGGGGTACTTCCATGAGCGTTTTCTATAATATCGATTTCTTCTATTTGCACAGATTTGCCCCTCTTTGGTTTCGGTTTCAGTGGAACGGTTTCTTCCGCTTGTTTCCGTGGAGGAAAGGTTTCTTCGATTTCAACGTGTTCTGCTTCTTCGATTATAGCAGAGGTTCCTCTTTTATAAACGTTCGGTGATTCTGGTTCTTCTATGATAGGTTCTTGAGATTTGAGTGTGGATTCTTTCAGATCTACTTCTAGTTTTTGATAGTTCGGACCTATTCAAGTGAAATTGTGATTAAAATATTTGTGTTTGTTTGTGTGGGTGTGGGAGTGAGGGTGATGATTTCACCTACGTTGAAGAATATGTATTGGTGTATTAATGGTGATTTTTCTCGTAATTGTTGTTTTTCGATGATAGACACAGACGTAAGCACATATGCAGGTGAAAACAACATGGAAAAATAACAGAACTGTCGGATGATCAAAACAAACTGACATTTTCATTTGCTTTCAGTTTTGTTTCGACCGATATGATGAACAGGAAGCAAATTAACACAAATTTGTTAGTTCCTCATACGTAATACTCGTAACGTAAAATCGATATTTCTTCATCAATTCTGATTCATTGAAATGAATATTCTAAATGTTCATCTCTCCAGAATAAGATTCTACAGGATGATAATCAAAGTGGTTTTTTGAAAATTTCAGAGACCCCACGTTTGGAAGATTGAAAGAAACATTTTTCGAATTTTTTGTGAAGTGGAGAACATATCACGATGAGTTTTGGTATTTTTGGAATTGTCAGACTCATTACTGGAATATGATAATTTATAATTTTCATAAGATAATTTATAATTTGATACTCTAATTTCTATTGACTAATTGTTTCAGTTTCTTATTCAAACGGTGATCAAAAATCTTGAAATTATGAATTATTGGAATATTTATTGATACAGGGTGATCCTCAGAAAATAATTATTGAAATATCATGATAGATAGAACATACAACTTCCATCATTCATTCATCCATCAACATAATGGAGTAATGATTAATTATATACCCAAATGGGTAATATATTGAGAGATGAGAATATGGAAGCTGTACGCTACCTTGATAGATGTATGAAAAATGTTGTTGCTCCCTTTTTTCCAGAATTTCAGTAAACTATATTACATATTCTTGTCCGTATTAGATATGCTCCTTCACGGAGCACTGAATAAACACCATATAGACCTTGCAATCCTACCTCCTGCTTTTTTGGGCTCCTCTACCTCTTGAATTTCGACTTTTTTTGATTTTTCAGGTTCGCATTCGATTTGGTCTTCCTTCTCTGCTATTTCAGCACTTTGTGGTTCGTCTTCAACCACATCGACTTCCACTTGTTTCGCAGGTTCTTCGGTTTCTTCGATAGCATCCGAATGTGTCACTTCTGTAATTGGTTAGTATAGGATAAAGGGAAACATAAACTATTGATGGTAGTCTGAAACATGTACTGCTCAATCGCTCATCCAGGCATCACCATCTTGAATCTGACTTGAATTTGGCATTCAAATTTTTTGAGTTGAAACTGACACGCGGAAAAGTTTTCCGATATCCATTGGGCTAGTGGATTTAATTTTTTGATAGAATCATCAGTCAATAACTTTTCGATATCATATTTCTCAGATTTGTTCGGTCGATTTTAAGGTGGTAAAATCATCAAAATTATCAAGGTTATCTTCAAACGGCTAGGAATTTACCGTAGATGAAAACTGAGGTCACTATTTCGTAAGTACGGACAGACCATAGCACAGTTGTCATATTATTATGTTGAAATACGAATGAGAACTTCGGAGACATTATCTATTCAATTATTTATACATTCTCGATCAATCAGCTCCAAATAGAATATTTCTTTATCAGGATCCTTTCGGTTCTCATTCTCATTCCAGACACCGACAGCTTGCGTTGAAAGTTATACTTCTACTGAAGTTTGTAGAAAAAAAAAATGTTTCTTTACTTCAACACTCTGTTATTCGAGATCTCAATACTAGAAGATCGTTTGTTCCCTAATAACACACGTTATCCCGAGGACATCCATTGTGTACCCCATCTGGAAGCCCATTTATGTCCATGGACGCACATCGAACAGCCACTTGGATGTCGATACCGGACACTTGGCAGTACATATTGGACATCCATTAGTTCATTGTCGGGATGTCCATTGTAGCGGCAAATTTTGGGAGAAGTGAAATGAGAAGGAGAAAGTGTTGAAAAGGAATATTCTCAGATAAATCATGGACATGGACAAAAATGGATATATATTTATATGTTGCAAAACATTGAGAATTCGCATTCTCTATGTGATGAGAATATCTACTCTTTTTTAGTTTATTCAATAAAAAACATTTCTTTCCTGGCTATATATGCCACGACGAACATTGAATTATATCTATTGAACACACACGATAAGAGTTTGAAAATAATAAAAATATAAAAACTTCTGAAATTGAGAATTCGCATTCTCCTTCAGACGAAAATATGTATATGCACACATCATTCTGAATATTTGATAAAAAACAACTACTTTCCTGGCTATTTGCCACGTCGAACATTGAATTATATCTGATGAACATTCAAAAGGAGAACATGAAAAATAAAAAATAAATTCCTCCGAAATTGAGAATTGACATTCTTCTTCAAATCGGATGAATAATATGACATAATGACAGGAATAGAATGTCAAAAATTTTTCTCAGATGTCATTTTGTTATAGTTTTACTTGGTTTTAGTTTTATTATAGAGATATGAAAATTGTGTATATCATGAAGAATGTCTGTAAGAATAAGTGGACATCATGGTTACTGACGAGGATTCAGAAATCCGAAATGGTTTCATTGCAATAAAGTCATATTACCTGTGTGTGAGAGATAATATTTCCCATATCACTGATATCAATGATCATTTTTGGAAGTTTTCAAGCTCATCAAGATCAGAGTTTTTGCCAGTATACTTCTCCTATACATTCCAATTTTCATTTCAATGCTGAATATATTGGTGAGTTATATTTCTATATCTATATATTTGTATGAACTCTGATCTTGATGAGCTTGGAACTTTCAAAAAAATCATTCGTATGATGAATGTCAATTTATCATACATTTAAAAAAGTACCTATAGGGTTTGAGGTGTACGTTACACCAGTAGATACTGAACAGGCATTATTGAGACGGATACAGAATGCACTGAATATTTGCAAAAATGATGCAGAAATGAGGCAAAATATCCATTTCAGTTTTTGTGCCAGCTACTTTTTTCATCATATCATATATAGTTTTGGTTCCACCCATGAACTATGTTTGAAATAATGAAGAAATAACCTAACCTGTCTCTTGAAGGTTCGTATATATGTCCAATATATGGACACCACATGTATGTCCATAATGGACACCACATGTATGTCCATAATGGACACCAAATGGATGTCTATCATGGATTCCGAATGGATGTCCATCATGGATAACGCATGTATGTCCTCAGATGTGGAAAGCTGAAATCCTATGGACATACATAGGATGTCCTGTATACACAAAGTGGTTATCCTATGGATGTCCAGGATATCCGACTGAGGATATCCATTAGATGTCCAATGAATTGAGGTGCGTTATTAGGGTGCCCACCTTAGTAATTATGAAATCGCGGCAACTAGCACTTGTCGAGCGTTTTCGATCCAATTTCGAAATACCCTGTATATTACAGGAAAATGAATGCCATATTTCAGTCAGGTACAAGTTTTTGGAGCAGAAACGATAAATATAGTTCTCAGACTACATTACATCAAAATATGAGATTTTTTCGTAAATCCTTCAGAAAATTCAAAAACGAAATAGTTCCAATAAACTCGAACATAAAACATTCCACAAACACAATGTGATGCAGATATTATGGGGGGCATAACGGGTCCAAACAAACCCATACAAAAATCTACTTACGACAGTATCTATGATGGAGGAAAGCTCTCGATTGGAGATGAACATTCTTGATATACGTTCTTCTTGAATTGGATGCATTGAACCGGCTTTATTTATACAGGGTGTTTCATAATTGAATGCTGATCCTAAAGGGCGATGATCCTTGAATGATTTCAAGGAGAGAAGGTCATATCAATATTTGTCCTGAACCTCTTAGTTTTTGAGCTACAGGGTGTTGAAATCAGAAGCGTACAGCGTTTATTTAAACTAAACATTCAATATCAGGTCTACGAGGACATCACTGGTAAAAGTAGAAGTTTGATTTTCGTCCCATAACAAAATGTGTTTCCACTTATAGGGGTGTCTACTGAATTACCAAAAACAATATCCAAGAACCGAAGGAACAAAATTCTTTGGATTTCATTTTTTTACGCGAAAACGGTACGTTGTAGAAATTGAAAAAAAATCTGGTTCTCAGAGAAATCAGTGGCGTACTATTTTTTTCTTCAAAAATTGTCAGTTCAAACCCAGTACGGACGCCACTGGTGGGAATTTTTAAATATTTACTATTTCATTCCACTGTGAGCATTGTGGCTATTTCGTAGTTCTTTTTAAATATTTTTCACGTAAAAAAATGCTCCTTGATAATGAAAAGGTGTATACAAGATATCATAACAATATCTAAGAGTAATAAAAAATTATGATGAAAAACTAATTTTTTCCTTGAAATTTCATCACCCTGTAGCTCAATAACTAAGAGGTTTAGGACATATGTTGATATGAACTTTTTTCTTTGAAATCATCTAAGGATTATCGCCCTTGAGGATCAGCATTCAATTATGAAACACCCTGTATATCATAAAACTGATGAATCATGACTATAGATAATAATCATCATGAATATTTTGTTCACCAATTGATTCGATTGTTCACGAATACTTATTGGTGTTAATGGTATTTCTCCCAATGAGCACAATCAACGATGATTTGGTTTATATTAGATAGGATGAAGGTCTGTTGCAGAGTTGAAATTTTGATGAGAGTATACAGCCTCATAAGTTGATGATTTTTAGAGACATGATGAACCCTCAGAGTGTGAAAGAAAACTCAATAATCACGTTGACGAAACTCTTGCTGCGTTTGATGGAAATGTTGTTGGTACTTGAAACATCTCGTGCGGTGCATTGTTTCAGAATATTTCAAGAAAGTCGTAAGTTGATGAATCATTGGCAACGTTGATGAGTCGCTTTCTCAGAGGTCGCTCTCCTTGATTAGTTGGAGCGTTCAGGTTTTGGAAGTCAAATGATGAACTGTTCTCTCATGGGTACTTGATGAGTTGGTTGATAAGGAATCTGATGAAATAAGTACGTTGTTGAGTCGAAATAGTTGAGCGAGTTGAACTTTGTTTTCACCGTTCGATTAGTTCATTGAAGAGGTGCGTTCTAGAGAACAAATGGATGTAGTCCAGGAATATGAGCCTTGCAATTCGTGATTTGGTGAAGAAGATTTGACTTTGAGGGGGCAAAGTGCATTCTCTTCGTGATTGCGTCTATATCAGAGTCTACATCGCCCAAAGCACGGCTGATTTGTTCATTCATCAATAATCCAATTGTTTTCAATAAATTAGGTATTCCGACTGTTACGAGGGAAAGGAAAGGCCAACTTTCAAGCGGTAAAGTCCATTCTCCTCCTCATCATTTGTACTTCAACTCTACAGGATTTCATTTGATCTGCAATTATCTTTTGATTTCAATTTGATTATCATGAGCAGATTAGGCGTTTCATCTATTATCGGCAGGGATTGGTGTATTTTCGAGCATGAATTTAGCTTACCATGTGTGACCTGGACTAGAAAATGATGATTTGCCAAATATAAATGACAATCTCCTCGTAATTGGAGCTAGTTCAAACCCAGTTGCTGTTTTGAATGGCTTCCATTAATTGAGTATTTGTTAATAATCGTTATGAACAAATCAGACGTGCACTCTTTAGCGCGGTATTTTGTTTAAAGAAACTATATCTTTCATCAACGTCAGTATTATTCGAGAACTAGAGAGAAGTGGATTATATTCACTTATGATAATTTGCGTTCGATAGGAGTGTCAATATCTCCAATTCTTGACGGTACTGTGAACATTGTTTATAATGATCAATGTAAAGTCAATGTAAATGAGGGTTCGTCGGAGCCCTACTTTTCTTGAACTTCTAATAGATATACAACAACTTCTACCATGTCAAATTCGGCTGGTCCTAGTCTCGACCCTAGATACAGAACCACGTAACTTCTGATTTGTTCATAACACTTGTGAGTATCAAACGACAAAAACAAATTGAGATCGCCTGAAATAACTAGTTGAGATACAGGACTGTCAGGCCCAGTCAATCAGATATTATTCCTGCCATTCGGTCCCCTTTGTATCGCCCAGTCATTAGCTCCGCCATTTGATCCTGCTCACTCACTTTCCCCCTTGCTCTCCCACCGCTGCAGCAGAGCAAACGGTTCTCCAGATGGTTCAACCCCACCATCCATCATTCATCCTCAGCCCCATCACTTGGCCCTGTCACTCAATTGAACGAAGGAAATGAAACAAAAATGTTACAGAAACGTCACAAAAACGACGAAATCATCACTGAAACGCCACAGAAACATTCCGCCTTTGTTTTTGTGACTTTTTCTAGAATTTTTGTTCCATTACCTGTGTTTAGGAGTGGCTGGGGCAAGTGGCGGGGCTAAGTGGTAGTATGAAGGCTCTGACGGGGCTAAGTAGAAGGATGGCGGAGTAAAACCATCTAGAAAACCGTTCACTTGGCTGCAGCGAAAAGAAAGCGGGTTGGAAAGCAGGTGAGTGGGGTAAGATGGTGGAACTGATGACTGGTAGGCCTGGCTAGGCTGATTGCCCTGTAGCTGAACTACTGAAGTCATGCAAAGTAGAAATACAAATGATTTGAAGAAAAATGGGCTCCGCCACGCTGAAATTGTAGCCTACTAACTGATGCTCGTGACAGCCGAAATACCTAATCGATTTATCATAACTAAATATTGATGAATACACAAATGAGCTGCACATTGAAAGATGTACTCTGATGTAGATGTGATGTGATCAGGATCTAACCTTCCCTATCGAATTCTGAGGTTTTGCCCTATTTATGTCTGACTTTCTTGGACAAAATATCAATGGTGAATCGTTTGCTGAGATATCATAGCCGACAGTTGAACTCTAAGACACAACTTACTATACACGGTGACGAAACTCTTGCTGCTCACCGTCCCGAGACAGTAGAGTGATCATGAGAGAACGCAATTGGCCATCAGAATTCAACCTCCTTCATTCCGAGGTTTTGTCCTATTCATGTTCGACTTTCTTATACTAAATATCAATGGTGAATCGTTTGTTGAGAGATTATAGACAACCCCTGAACTCTAAGACGGAACTTACTATGCACGGTGACGAAACTCTTGCTGCTCACCGTCCCGAGCAGTAGTATGATTATGAAAGATCGCAATTTGCCATCAGAATTCAACCTCCTTTATTCGGAGGATTCTTCCTATTCATGTTTGACTTCCTTGGACTGAATATCAATGGGGAATCATTTGTTGAGAGATTATAGATAACCCTTGAACTCTGAGACGAAACTTACTATGCACGGTGACGAAACTCTTGCTGCTCACCGTCCCGAGACAGTTCGTCACGATCACCTCGTATTCCCCTTGCTCCTCGTACTTGATCAGATCTACGGCCAGATTGTAGGTCTCGTGCCGCTGCGTGTCGCGGCTGATCCTGATCCGTGCGTCTGCTGAGACCTCGCGACCGTTCCTGAGCCACTTCACGGTGGGCGCGGGACAGCCCTCCACGGCGATTTCTAGGTGCAAAGTGGCGCCCTCTTCGACGGTGGTGTCGTTCAGGCACTTGATGATGCGTGGGGCACCTGTGGGGAGAGTGGAGTTTTGAACATTGAAACGGACATTAAATAGTTCAATGTGCAACAAGTAGAAAGAGCACTTTCGCCACATGTTGCACACTATACTTTCTTCACAAAGAATACAAGTGATGTGATTGGATATTTATTTTTATGGTTAGCAAACCTGAAGAAACATCTTAACAGTTGAATAATTTATCCAACATTAAAGTCAATAGTGGAATTCGAACAATTTTGTGTGATGAAACTTTGAACGTCATTTTTCCCTCAAATTTCCACTTTTCAAAAAATATTCAATTCATTTTTTCCCATTCCCTACATTTTTGGATATCAATTCATATTTCTTTCTCAAATTCTCCGAAAAGTGTAGTTTTTGAACATTGAAACGGACATAGAATAGTTCAATGTGCATAAGTAGGAAGAGTACTTTCGCCACATGTTGCACACTATACTTTTTCTACATCTCCACAAAACTGAAGAATACGAGTGATGTAATTGGATATTCAATTTAATGGTTCGCAAAAGTGAAAAAACATCAGAGTATTTTACTTCATAACAGTTGGATAATTCATCCAAAATTGAAGTCAATATAATTCGTACAATTTTGTGTGGTGAAATATTAATCGTCTTTTTTTTAATATCTACATCTCGAAGATGCTTCAACTTCAATTTTTCCATTTCATATATTTTTGTATGTCAATTCATACTTTCTTCTTGAATTTTTCAGCAAACAAATGTGATGTTACCTGTGCAGCTTCTTCCAATATCCAATATTATTTATTAGGAATGTTGTATTGAAATAATATTTTTCGAAAATTGCGATTTTAATGAAGGTACGACTGGAAGTTTCCTCAAGAACTTCTGCTGACAGTTATGACAACTACTTAGTCGAAACTGAACAGCAGCCAACTGAGTTTTTGTCTATTCTTGTTGATTCTCCATATGAATAGATGAAGCTACCAGATATCAAAATGGGTTACCTATTGGTCTTTGGGAAAGTGGAGATGACGTTATAACTTGAACAGTGATGGCGTCATGGAGAATATAAGCAAAAATTGCGGAACTGTAAAAAACAATAGACGTGTCTGACCCTTTCTCCCCAATAGCCTTATGAAACTTCAAACGAATTCGTTTCAATCTTCATGTGCTCACTGTAGAAAATTTACTTTCAGTGATGTTTTTGAACATTGCAAGTTTGATTTGATTCCAATTGGAGTTTTCAAAAATTGATACGGACCTAGCAAAATTTGGTTTGATTTTGAAGATAAATGGAGCGAGGAATGAGGATACTCTCCTGAATCTCCAGGGATATGTCGTTTTTCTGTTCTTTTTTGCAGGACTCCAACAACTCATACTGAGTTTGAGTTTGAGGAACGGAAGGTTCAAAAAGTTGTTCTCGCACATGTCCCCAAAAATTTGAGATTCAACAGTCTTTGATATCATAGAAATACAACGACTGTAACAGTATGGCACCACTCTCATTCACATTTTGAATTGACACATTTCTAGCAAAGTTGATGTGATATAAAATTTCTGTCTATCAAAAATATGAACAATTCATGATATTCACTCTGACAAATACACTCAGTTCCAAAAAAAGTGACGCACTTGATATTTGACCTATCTTCTTAAAAACAAGAATACAAAAAATAATAGGCCGATTTTTCCTTATTTGTTGGAAGGTGATGCCTTTGTCTTTGAAATAAATTAAGAGGTAAAAATGTTTTCAAAGCCTCCTTGATGGTGATGGAATAACTAAAACCATGATTTATTATTATTTTTTGACTCTCTTTGTGTGTTAATTGAGTAATGGCAAAATTATAAATTGGGATGACTGCTTGATACCGTGTATTGCCTCCTCTAGCAACTCTAAGAACTTTTAATCTACGAGGCATATACTGGAAATTAGGTTGCTCATCGTTTCCAATGGTATACGATCTCATTCTTCCACTAATGCATCTGCCATTTCTGCGAGACTTTCCGGAGACCTCTCGCAAGAACGTACCCTTCTGCCTAATTCATCCCAAAAATGTTCTATAGGATTCATATCGAGGCTTCTCGCAGGCCATTGTAATGTGGTAATACCAGTAGCTTCTAAGAAGTTTCGCACTATTGCTGCGGTATGTGGTCGGGCATTATCATGCATCAATATAAAATTATGGCCCACTAACTCTGCATGAGGTAAGACATACTGCTCTGAAATGTCAATGTGAATTTGAGAAATCATCGACTGCCTCACCGGAAAATCATTAAGGGGTGTCTTTCCATTCATTGAAATCCCTCCCCACACCATAACAGACCCGCCATTAAAACTTTCGCATTCTGTCATTAAATTTTGATTAAACTGTTCACCAGTTCTTCTCCACACTCTTTTTTTTCCATCCATCATGTTGAGGCAAAACCTTGATTCATCCGTAAACAAGACATTCGACCATTCAGGAAAATTCCACGGTCCATAATTTTCAACGAAATTTCTTCTAGCAGCACGATGTTTGGGCAATAATTTGGGACCTTCTGCAGGTCTCCTAGCTCTTAAACTAACTCATTTTAGATGTCTACATACCGTCTGCATACTCACTGCAACATCACGGATTTGGCGAAGATCTTGCTAAACATTTACCGCAGTATTTGATTGATTCCGTAAAATTAGTTGCTATGGCAACGGCATTTGTTTTTTCTAAAGACAATGTGATCCTACCAGAGAACAACCCAATCAATTTTGAGTACTCTGATCCTTCAATAAATTCAATTTGTGGGATAAGCGTAAGGTATCAGCAAAAAAGCTGAAATTCGGAAAATTTCAGAGATAAATCAATGAATAAAAAACGAAATGCTTGCAAAAGAAGCCTCTTTCGTATAGGGTGTAAGCACTTCCTATGCCATTACTCAATTAACACACAGGTTGAGTCAAAAATCAAGAATAAATTATGGTTCGAGTTATTCCACCACCAAGGAGGCTTTAAAAAAAATTTCATCTCTTTATTTTTTTTTAAATGCATTACCTACCAACAAATAAATTTTTTGTTTTTTTCTTTCAAGAAGATTGGGCAAATATTAAGTGCGTCACTTTTTTCGGAACTAAGTGTATGAGGAAGTCTTTATGTAGAAACGGCAGCGAAAACTGTGAGATTCAGTGTTAATTTCGACAGATGTATGGTATTTTACCACAACCATTCATTGGAGAAGGGTTGAGGAAGCTGTTTTTGATAAATTTTCCAATAGCTCACAATTATCAACCAGTTGCAGAGAGGTGTCAGTTCTCTCCCAATTATAGTTCTCATTGGACCAACTCACAATTCACTGTTAATCTTGCACTGGTTTCTGCACCACCACACTCGTTACTAAGCTTGCACGTATATTGGCCAGAAAGTTCGCTAGACACTTCCTTGATGACCAGTTTGACGCCGTCATCATATTCGATGCGAGTGAACTCTGTTCTTGTTTCTTGGACCTCCATCTCATCAAGGTACCTATAAAAATTCATACGGAAACATTGAGTGGGTTATAATGAAATTACCTTGGATGATATTGCCACAATATCAAGTTCAACAAAGTGAATACCATCATGGACGAAATGGAGATAGTGCGAAATTATTCTGATCGTATCAAAATATTCAAAGCATTTTCATGTACACTTTCGTAGCGTGATGGAGTCAGAATGAAATTCGTATCCTTAATTTAATTCAAGACACTCACCATTTCACAGTGGGCTTGGGGAATGCTTCGAGCTTAACATCCAATGTAACGTTTTTGTCGTGCTCAGTCACCGTCATGTCGTGTAGTCCCTGGATGATCTTTGGAGGTTTCTTCACGTTTATCGTCACCTCATCGTCCACGCTACCATGTATATTGACAGCTTTGCACTTGTATTTGGCAGCATCTGTTGTCACCTGTAACATATCAGTGGTTTTCAATTACCAGTACCACTACTAGAACTAATACGTGCCCATAGGCCAGGTAGGCGTAACCTCATTTTGGTTCTACAGAAGATAGATCGAGCGATATAATGTAGCGATATCCGTAGTAGACAGACAAAAATGAGGATGGATCAAATTATCTGAGTTGGAAAGATACATTCGGAGTGAATCTTTTTAGGTGAGTGATATCACCTGATACATGACCATTGATATCTGGCAAGTATAACTCTAATATCTAGAGCAGACTAGTAGTGCACCTATGTTGTTCTCAGATCAATCGACCACTATCCCACCCATGCATTATTATCAACTGAAATACCTGAAGGAGTAATAAATCTCAATATCATCTCTACAACATTCAATGGGTATTCATGATTATGTTACAATAGGAAGGACATGTTTCAGAGTCATAATCATCCCAAGTGTTTGGGATCACACGTTAAAAGGTAAGGCCCCCGTCATTCCTTGCTCGCACAAGACTTTCGAAGACTTTTGAGGGTTGCTCGTAAGGGGGCAACCGAATGACGGATAGAACAAATTTTAGAACAAATTTTAGAACAAATCATCAGCCAGAGGTAGAAAAATGTCGAACTATCTGCCTGACACAAAGTAGTTTGACGATTTTGTGCCCTTTTTGTGGCTATATTCCGAATTCAACTCACAGTGCTGAATCTGCTGATTTTTCATTCCGAAATCAAGGAAATCACTGAATGTGACAGATGCTTGTGGGCAGATATACTATTCATTCCAAATATTATCATTATTTCAAAGGGGAGAGGAATGAAACATTTATTTCCGTTGTTAATTACATAATTTTCAATATCAGAAAATACCCGTCACCGATATAATAAACGCTGAGAATAACATGGAGTATGAAGAAGAAGAGGTAACGAAAAAAGAAGCAGCATTGGGTAAATGAATATCTAAATAAACCTGAAATGTCTCCTAAATTCATCATCATTGATGCTATATTACACATAAATGTCCAAGAATTCTTCATCACTCGAGCTTGAATCGTCATCGTCAACAATCGAAGAAAATATGAAGGCTACAAGAACCGATTGTTCTACCATGTTAGATATTATATTTCCAAAATTATTGTCAAGCAGGAGGCCAAATTATCTAGTTCAGATAAACAAGATACTACATACTGACAAGGATGACAAATTTCACCAGCACTGTATTTTTGATTTTATATTTCGGAACACATATTTTCAGTTGAATTCGGAATATAGCCTGTGTCGTTTCACATGCTTCCACAAACCCGTGACGTTTCTGTGAAGTTTTTGTGACGCATTTGTGATGTTCTTGTTCCGTTTTGCGATATTTTTGACGCTTCGACAATATCGTGAAGTCCCTATGATGTTTTGTGACGTCACAGACACGTTACTGGTTCGTGAGAGTGAATTTTTAGCATCACTTAGTCCCGACACTCAGCTCCGCTATTCTACCATTTAGCCCCGTCATTTAGCCCCGCCACTGATATAAAAACGTCACAGAATCGTCAAACTACGTTGGGTTAAGCAGTTATTTTAATTAAGAATAATGCATAGGTGACATAGGGGTGGATTGGTCTGAGAACAACATAGGTGCACTACTCAGACTAGTCGACGTAGCAAACTTGAAAGGTTGGCCGTATTTTCAACTCTCTCCTTCATTCTCCATCTGATGTTCACCCGTTATCTACCCGCGAATCACCCGCTTACTCGCTATTGTATTCACTCGCCGATGAGTCACTAGAACGACGCGTGTGTCTAGAGGGTAGGTCAACTTTTTTCTAATATGATTGTAGAAAACATACATGTTTATGAATAGACACAAAAGAGAAGGAGAAACTTAGAGAATCCATGAACAAGATCAATATCCAATGAAAAGGAAGTTGAATCATACTGCCCATATTTGGAGTGGAATGAACTGAAATAGATCAATTTCAAGTATTCGAGTGCTACAGAAGACTAGATCTGATAATGTGTAATATATGGGTGGCCAGGTAGCCGTGCAGACAGAGTGTCGGTATTCTAATTCGCATTCGCTTGCCGGTCGTGGGTTCGATTCCCAGCGACTGCAGATTTTTTTTCTGATGGCCCAAGAAAGTGTTTGGGATCACACGTTGAAAGGTAAGGCCCCCCGTCATTCCTTGCTCGCACAAGACTCTCGAAGACTTCTGAGGGTTGCTCGTAAGGGGGCAACCGAATGACGGATAGAACAATTTTTTCAAATATTAACAATGGGAGATATTTTTCCTGAGTGTTTCGATTTTTTCGTGGGGTTCATGCTAATATTTCCCAGAAGGACATGGAAGAGCTTTTATCGAAATTGGGTATCGAGTCATGATCTTTTAGCCATAATGTAATTGAGGTGAGATCTTCTTCCATTTGGTTCTTCATCTCTTGTATACTCATTTCGTATAATGAATAGAAGTTGTGACATTGGTGAATGATTTTAGATTTTTTCGCAATTTCGAACTTGATATAAAAGTCATATGAATGAGAAATGAAATAGGTTTGAGAATTAATTGGGACCAACCACAAGATATGATACTTATTGAAGAAAAGAAGAGGCTCCCACATAAACGAACTTCATATTTAAGAATAGTAATAGAGTATTGAATAAGGATAATGGACCTATTCCATTATAGCCCTCTATATAGTTCAGTAATATAAAAATTTATATTAAAATGTGAACTCAACCAAGACAAACATTAACTTGACGGTTAGTATTTTTCACAGTTGGGTGAACATATACCTAGTATACAAGCAGCACACTAGAATAGGATATTTAGTTTTAATCTTCTCCTGAAGATGCTAACATAGTTAGCAAAACACGTGTCCAGGCGTTGAAAAAATCGGTTTGGTTAGTGGTTAATCATTGTAGTGCAATGTAATTTGTTAGCATAACAATTTGTTCGGTCCGTATATCAACTTCGTTTCTAAATTTTAGGAACTGCTACAGAAAAAGAGAATTCTACACACCGCGCCAGTGATTTTCAGAATATACGAATCTCCATCGTCTTTGATGACGAAGTGCTCGCTCGATTTGATTTCTTCTTCGTCCTTGAACCACTTTACTTCCGGTTTGGGCTCTGATTCGAGTTTGACCTTGAGCTCGACGTTTTGACCTTGAGATACGGTCCTGTCGGATCCTAGTTTCTGAATGACCTTCGGTTTGCTGTGGACGTCCAAGTTCCAGAATTGGGAAACTTGTGCTATTTCGTTGGAAGCAACCACAGAATATGAACCTGAAGAAATAATATAAATGGATGATGATAATTTCAATTATCTGTTCGTTTTTACAATGGATATGTTTCGTGAATCAACTTGGTTATTTCGATTAGTGGATCTCCGTTCCGAAAATATGAAATTTATTTATTTACTTATTTATTGAACAAATAATTTCCAGACAGAATAGGCTCTGGTATAAGGAAGTACATAATTATATATCCATAGGTAAACATAGCATCATTCAAAATATATCAACAACTGTAAATTGGCAAACAAAGAATAATATTCATTTTACTTGGTTCTTTGGGATTTTCTCTCCTCGTTTCTATAAAATAAAAGTATTCGTATTATTTCAATATATTTGTAGAGGGACAAATCAGATGATTTGCCCCAAAATGTCACTGCGTTTAACAAATTTTTCTATCAGGGAGTCTAAAAGAAAAATCCAGTAGCTTGTCAGTGACAATTTGTTTGAAAAAATTTTTGAAGGAAAGAAATATAGATATATTGAAAAAATATCGAATTTTTACTTATCTTTGGACGTTTCGGGACCGATTCTGCTCCCGTTCTCAACATGTAAATGCAAATTATTTTTCTTTGAAAGTTGTGCTGCGTATATAGTTTGACACTTTTCAGTGTCATACTGATGTTGGCATATGAATGAGTGATTTTAGTCTACAAATGAGTTACAGGATGTTTTCATTAAGATAAGTACAAATTCGATATTTTTTCAATATATCTATATTTCTTTCCTTCAAAAATTTTTTCAAACAAATTGTCACTGACAAGCTACTGGATTTTTCTTTTAGACTCCCTGATAGAAAAATTTGTTAAACGCAGTGACATTTTGGGGCAAATCATCTGATTTGTCCCTCTACAAATATATTGAAATAATACGAATACTTTTATTTTATAGAAACGAGGAGAGAAAATCCCAAAGAACCAAGTAAAATGAATGTACCACCTCCTCGATTAACCTACAGACAGTATTTAAAGAATAATATTTTTGAAAAAAAAAATGGCATGATTAATTTCATCCACTTCGGTCAGAAATAATCAGTTTCATACTTCATTTTTGAATGTACCTATATTTCTGCAATTTTTTATAATATCAGGTAGTTTATTCAATTCAGTTAAGGCTGAATGAGTGAATCTTTTTTGAATGTTTGTTTGGTTCCTGAAAAAAGGTTATTCACGGAACTCGGTTGCTGAAAAAGCGGTAGGTTCACTATCACCAGAACGACCGTTGATTTTTCCTGGAGTTCGGTAAATTTGAGTTGACGTTGAAGTGCTTTAGTTTTTGGTATGAGATTTCGATTCATAAATCACAAGGAAAAATAATTTTCCCATTTTGATTATTGCGTTGAGTTCCGATGGATTCTTTCACTGAGATAAATTGATAACATTCGATATATTTTCAGTTTGATGACGTTTTCTTCTATTTCAGAACACTAGACCCTTTGCTTATGCGTACTGTGCACAAGACTTTGAGATTTTTGGGTGCTATGATGAAAAATCGAATACTGACAGAGTATGAATGTTTAAATAACGATCAAAACTTTAATTAAACAAATGACAGGCATTCCGTGAATAAACCACAACCGTAGTCACTATTAGATAATCAGTGTCAAAATTGTTGGTACCGGCCCTGAGAGCATCGGTATATAACCTCGGTTGATTAACGGAACATATCCAATGTATTTTCATTATTTGGTTGATGTCTATAATCGAAATTGAGCGATAATAGTCCATAAGCTGGATGCGAGTTTTGACCGTCATCCAATAACGAAATGACATGATATACAGGGTGTTTCAGAGTTTTGGTGATAAATGCCTAGTTGGGATTTCTCTCAGCAAAATATGAGAAGAAAATCATGTGAACATGGGTCCAGAAATGCTTTATTTTTGAGATACATGGCGTCCAAGTTTAAAAACAAAAAAAATGGTTCTTCATTATTATCTTCAAAACGCTCAAACCTATTTGAATGAAATTTTTATGGTTAATCAACACAATTACTAGAACTGGACTAATTAAATTCGATCCAGATTTCACAGGGGCGTACCCATCAAGTATACAGGCTTTTTTTTGTAAAAGGAAATCCCCTTGTTCTTATCAGGTTCTTCTTGAATATTCAGATGAATCCGCTAAAAAAGAGCATTCCTGTCTTTTGCTATTTTTGCGCAACTCCACAAGGAAGAATAAGAATGCGCAGCTATCATCCAGAAATGTATTACATCTGAAATGTATACGATCTTCAAATTTTGTGACAAATAATTTTTCAAGATATGAAAAGAAAAACATTTTTTTTTCAACAAACGTCAAAAAATGACAAGGTTCGCGCATTGATAACAAATTGCGAAATGACACTTTTTTCAGTTTCCTACGTTACCATGATACCTTGCATAAAACAATGCGCGAAGTAAAAAAGTAGTACATACTTCGCGCATTGTTATGTAAAATATATGATATTTATATCTCAACTTTATGGTCTCCAATCGAGCAAACATCCACGAAATCATTTATTTCTGAATGTTCAACAATAACTCTGTTTTATCTCTTGGAGCGAACGAAAGGAAATTCTTATTATGTTCGTGGAACATCGTGCGTACCTAGGGAGGATAAGGGGAGGCCTTTTGAGCCAGTTCAACTCTATTTTTTATATCAAGCTAAGCATATTTTTGCTTTCGAATGATATTTTTTGACGTTTGTTGAAGTTATGTTGTTTGCAACTCGAGCGCGACTATTTTTTCAACTAGACAACAACTCAACAATAGGCTACGCCTCGTTTAAAAAATCAGATCTCGATCACCAAAGTAGCATTTCGCGCTCTAGATACAAAAATAACTATTTTCAAACTTGGACACCCTTAATTTCGGGAAGGACGCATTTTCGGAACCATGTTCATATGTTTTTTTTTCATAATTATTTGAGAGGAATCTCTGCTAGGCTTTGTCACATTAACTTTGATACACCCTGTATGTCCCGAAGGCATGTCAAAATATTGTATTTATCAAATGGCACTCTCACCAATCACATGAACACAAGCAACATCAATAATTGAAGCAAATTCAAGTCGAATTAATGCCATTTCGAATCGATAATTTTTCCTCTGACCTAACCAGACAAACCAGGTTGAACTATCTGAGTCGATCCATCTTGTAGAGGACTGAAGATAATGGGGCAGAAAGAAAATCTTACAGTCAACTCCATCGAAACTATTCTTCATTCAACATTGGAATTGGGACACTTTTCAACATGTTTCAAACCGGATTGTAAGGTGTATACGTTACCTTCGTAGTACTTCCAAAATGTCTTCATGTAGAATTATCTTTACTTCTCATGGAATTTTCACTCTTGCTAGTTTATACAGGGTGGTTCCTAACTACGGTTCCTTACTGCAGGTGGTGATTCATTAGGTCATTTTAGGAAGAAAAGTTCCCATTAACATATGTCCGGAGTTGCTTCGTTTCGGAGATACAGGGCGTTGAAGTTCAAGAAAAAAAACGGTAATTATAAAATATCATGAATATCCTAGAACCGATTTGGTTAGAATTTGGTACTTCCATTTGTACTGATAAGGCGCTTATTTAGATTGAAATCATTGCTGCCAGTGGCGTCTCAGTGGGCACCACAGCCAACAATATTGTGAAAAAAAAGTACGCCACTGACTTTTTTTGGTGAATTTTTATTTTCTTTAGATTGAGCAACTCAAAATACAAATTTTTGGTCTCCTGCACTTTCTTCATATCCAGCTTCGTTTTCGAGAAAAAAAATCAAAGCCACTGTATTGCATATCATGAACACCTTCATTGGAGAAATGAGTTTTCCATTATTTCCGCCAAAAATTTAATTGACACTTGATATGCTGAAATTTCAGAAAATTTGACAAATAAAAGTACGAAATTTCAACCAAATCGGTTCCAGGATATTCATGATATTTTATAATTACCGTTTTTTTTTCTTTAATTCCAACGCCCTGTATCTCAGAAACGAAGCAACTCCGGACATATGTTCATAGGAACTTTCCTTCTTGAAATGACCCAAAAAATCACCCCCTGCAGTTAGGAACCGTAGTTAGGAAACACCCTGTATATCTATGAACCAGCAGTTCATATTTTCGGTAGTAGGAACGATACCAAATCGAATAAGGATTTGCACAATATCTATACTCGTAGGAAAAATTGAATTCACACCCTTGCTGCCAGGTATAAAATAACACAAAATTCTTCGAAATATATAGGCCCCGTATAATATTCAGTCATACACCATCCACATGATACCAAATCATCATCTGATATTGTTTCTGTTAGAACATTGTTTTTACTCAATTGATTAATTTCATTCAGTCTGAAATGTGCAGCTGACTGTATAGCATTTATTGTATTTCGATGATTCCATATGATGTATTACTTTGTAAATGGATTCTTATCGACTGATTATTCCTGCACAAAATGTACTTCTGTCGATCAAAGGAAAATGAATGAAGTTTCACGCGACACTCGGATATTCGCAAATGGGGCATTTTCTCTTCTTTATTTGCATTTTTTTGTCAAATCGTCATCACGTGAAGGAAGTATAACAAGATAAATTGTAGCAAAATGAAACTCTGTGCCGAGGTTTAGACTCAGGGGGTCACACAAGTAGGATTTTAAGAGAAACTAGTCAATTGATTTCAGATGTGATGATTCTTATCAAATTATCAAATCGAACTATTGTGCAGATTACTGCACAGGTGGGGTGATTGAATACAATGTTTGAGGGTGCCTTCGGGATATAATATGTCAATTCGTTATCTAATTAATAATAATATTTAAATTAGACACAAGATCAATCAGCATTTTCAGAAAGTTGGTATCAAAACATCAATTTGAATTCATATACATCTTCAGGATTTTATTAGGATAACTTCAAGATAATGAGAAAGTAAATGGAATTCTTGCTGTTTTTTTATTACCTGAATCTTTCAGTGAAGTTTTCTCGATCACCAGACTATGCTTCTCTCCTGATTCAACAACTCTCATGCTTTCACTCTGCTTGATGATTTTTCCATTTTTGTAGAACTGGATAGTTGGTTTCGGAATACCTTCAACTTCTACGTCCATTTTCAGCAGGATGTCTGCATGAACAGAGATATCCTCCATTTTCGTCTTGATTTTTGGCGGAGCTGATGAAATCAAAACACAGTTAACTCATGCAAATCCTAAACATCATTTTTGGCGCTTAATTCCAGTTGAAGTCTTCAGACTGTGTGTGACTGCTGAACCTCATCTCTATTGATCATTGATCTTGTTGAATTAAGGAGATTGTTAAACTGCTTGACAAAAACATGGGAAACCTATCGATTATTTGAGACTAATATTTTATATTCACTCATAATCTATCTAGCAGCAGCTTCGACTAGTGATAATCTTGTATGTACAAAAAAAAATCGTGACCTTGAGAAAAATATCGAGCAACGATTCTGCTGCGTGGTAGATCCAGTAAAAACATTTCCCAACGAGCGTGCGGAAAAATACCTTTTCCGCATACATTTTCGTTTAGAAAGTTGTACTTTTCCGTACGATTCTACTTTTCCGCATTATTTTCACTTTTCCGCACGATTTCGGAGGAAATACTAGGAGACATGTGATGATAACTGTTGGCACCAGAACGTACCCATAGCAACAGTTGCTAAACACTGACAGTAGTGGCAGTCAACAAAGAAGCATTTCAGACCAATCTACCTTCCTCTACTATTCACTACACTAGTAATTCTCAGCAACAAACTGATCAAGGCATTTCTGTAGTGGGCCGAACACTAACCAATCAAATTCAAATAAGAAACGACGTTCGGCATCTGCTATATATTACAGCATGCAACAAACACAAATTGCACATTCAATTTCAATATCTACCATCCTCAATGTTTTTGTTATTGTTATTTGAATGTTCTTCGAATAAGTTTCCTTTTATATCGATAGTGAAAATCTTTCTCAGTATTCTTCAGTGCATGAAGAAATCATGCGGAAAAGTTACTTTACCGTACTAGTGCTGAGAAGTAACTTCTCCGCACGACTTTTGTATCGTTGAAAATAAGGATATTGAGGAACATACTAGATAATATGGACAAAAATACTCGAAGGCGAAACATTGTACAGTCGTATTCAATAAATGTGCGTACAAGTCTTGAAAATAGTGGTTTATGTCATCCTAGTTCTAGTTGTGTAAAACTGTGCTCAGCCAATGCTTTGCGTTTTTGAGGAGTTATCGACAACTTTACTGTCAACATTTGGTGAACAATCATTCTCAATAGTCCGTTTTACCATAGACTACATCTTTGGTTTTACGCTAATAGGATGACATTACAACAGGAGAAAAAACGAACTCAAAGTCGGTCGACCACAATATTTAATATCAAAAATATAATCAGTGTGACTATAGTTTCGGCTCTACGGCCATCTTTAGACACAATTAAAAGGTATCTAGAAAGTAACAAGTACTACAGGTATTGAACAAAATGGTAGCTGAGAAAGACATGACATACCTGTTATGTGGAAGAACATCTTAACAATAAGAAAAAATTATCAGTAATAATGGGTTCGTTATAATAATGATCAGTCCAGCCTAACAATCAGCAAATTTTGTAACGGCTGAAAAGCCGGAAAAACATTACAATAAGTGAGTTCAACATCAGGAAAAGGAATAAATTGGAAATCTACTCAAATGAGTTTCATCTGACTGCAATCAAACCATCAAAGGAAAAGTTCAATATCATAAAAAAAGACTCTCGAAAAATACAGAAATTTGAAAATTGTAAGTGGTGATTTGACATTGACAAGACAATATTGACAATTTCAAACACTTCCTTTGATGGTTTGATTGCAGTCAGATGTAGCTCATTTAAGTAGATTTCCAATTTATTCCTTTTCCAGTGGTGCCCGCGAGATTCTCGTTTTCGAGACAAGATTCGATACGAGACTCGGACAAGACGAGACGAGACTTTTATTGGTCTCGTCTCGAGTCTCGTGCAAGACTTCTCGTGTCTCGCAGGTGAATATTTCTGCGTGACGACTACAGACTTGGGAATTTCATTCATTATACAACATATTTAGAAAGAATTCAGACCATTTAGCACAGATAGACAATAGTTATTTGTTTAACTAGGCAGCAAAATAGTAGATTGACTGCCGTGGCTGAATTCATAGCCGAGCGTAGCGAGGCTAGGAATCCAGCAAAGGCAGTCAATCTACTGTGTTGCCGAGTTGAACATATGATTTTTTCTCCGATTGTTCATAATGATATGGGAGAATATTGTGTTTGCGAATTAATACAACTCCCACAATCTCTTTATTCTTCCTGTATAGTGTTCAATTAAAATAAAATTTGATAGAAATCGCAGTTGTTGGTTTGACAATTCATGAAATTTCTGACAGTTGTGCGAAACAATATCCGTATATTTAAATTATTATATAATGGACAGTGATAGCGACCTGGAAGTATACTTACACCTCCATTAATAAGGGAGGTGGCAAAAAATATAGAGTTGAATTTGTTGCCGGAGAAGTCTCGGATGAAATATGAAGGAAATTATAAACGATTTATGGATTTTTAATTTTGCTGATACATATCAATCAGCAAAGTAACCACTTTGCTGCCAAGGCAGCAAAGTGGCAGCAGGAAAAGTAATACTTTGCTGATTGATATGTGTCAGCAAAATTGATATTTGCTGCCAATCGGAGGAAAAACATTTTATTCATGTATACTTCGAACATACATAGAGGATATAGGTATCAGAGATACTTCATTAGATTTATTCAAAAGCTACATCACGAATAGACGTCAAACTGTTAGAATAAACGATATTATTAGTGAAGCCTTACCTGTTGAATACGGGGTGCCCCAGGGTACGGTCCTTGGACCACTACTCTTCAACATTTATTTGAATGGTTTATTTTCTGTGAAGAGTAAAGGGGACATTGTTGGATTTGCCGATGATACCGCAATCTTTTACAAAGCTGATTCATGGGAAGAAGTGAAAAGAATCGTACAAACGGATTTTATTCTGATTAAGAAATGGCTTGAAAACAGATTATTAACAATAAATTTTCAGAAAACGAACTATTTACCTTTTAGCTGCAATAAAACAAATCTTCCCCTCTTCACCGATATTCAAATATCTGACGGAGGAACTGACCTAATAATAGCAACTAAAAATAATGTCAAATATCTGGGAGTCATGATAGACTGCCACATGAAATGGGACATACACATAAAATACATCATTAAGAAGTTACAATTTATTCTCTATAAATTGAAATATTTGAAAAAAATTCTATCTACACAACAACTATTAACATTGTATCTTGCGCTCGTCGAAAGTCATCTTCGATATGGCATACTTGCATGGGGCGGCGCCTTGAAATCGCACCTCAAACCCCTCGAAATTCTACAACGAAGATTTCTCAAAATTATTTTGGGAAAGTCATCCAGATATCCTTCTGACCTTCTTTTTACAGAAGCAGAAGTACTTAATATAAAACAACTTTATTACTACCATGTGACCATACGGTACCATACTATTAAAAACTCCGGAGACTTACCAACACATATGTACAACACCAGACAAAAAAATAATTATATCATTCCACAAATCACAAAATCACTCGGAATGACTAGTTTCTCATTTAATGCTCCGAAAATGTACAATTCATTGCCTGAAACAATCCGAAATATACCTAGCTTATTCAATTTCAAAAAACAACTGAAATTATTCACGAGAGAAACTCAAAAATTCCTGTAAAAGAATTATGAACCTCACTTCATTTCATTCTTACGAGGGTGTATATGCGTATGTTTGTTCTGTGTATTAAACAATAATTTACCACGTGATGTCTTTGATTCATTTCATTTATATACTTAATGTATATCGAAACAAGTGTTTAATCACTTATCGATTGTTCTTGTCTGCTGTAGATATAACGTATTTTATTTATTAGAATTACATTTATTAGTACTATTTTATTTCCCAACATTGTCGAACCCTTTTTTTGGTATTTTGTTTGTTCTTTTTATCGCTTTTACACTTTGTATATATGTATCTCATATTTCATTACCTCTATGTTTACTTATAAATTCTGAAAGTTGTATATTTTTGAATAACATTTTAAATTTCTCTATGTTTAATAGAATCATAAAATATCCTTTTTCCTCGAAACAAGCGTGAATACGCTTATCGAGTATCATCATTTATGCTATTTATGTTCTTGTAATAAGATTATTTTCTTTCATGTAGCAATAAATGATATATTATTATTATTATATTATTATTATACAATCCATGATTGTTGTAAAACGACGTAATGCGTGAAACGAGAACGGACTATTCTCTCTCTTACGGCGGCGGAATATAAGGGCAATTCTGCAATAACGACAGATCGCAAATTGGATGACTACCTGAAAATCTATGAATAAGTCATTCTGTGCTGAATAGTCTGAAATGAACAATAACTTTGTTTTGACGGGCCGCCGACGTCACGGTTGCATCGCCTATCGCCTTTTAGTACCTATGTATCATAGTATGTACCTATTAGGTTCTTACTTCTCAATATATAATGTTATTATTATTTGTAATTTTTTCTTCCTACTTCTACATTATACCTAAAAAGTAGGTGAAGTTAAATATCCCATACTAGACTGGAACAAGATTATGCATGACAAAATTGCGATACATTTGCGACACTCTCGTACGAGACGCGAGACAAGACGAGACTAGAGGCTGCGAGAAGATACTCGAGACAAGATTTCATATTTCACTCTCGTGTGAATCACTACAGTTTTCCTGATGTTGAACTTACTTATTGTAATCGAGATTGTAATGTTCTTTTGGCTTTTCAGCCGGTACAAAGTTTGTTGATTGTGAGGCTGGACTGATACTTATTATTAAGAACCGATTATAACTGATGAATTTTTTGTTTTGTTAAGATGTTTTTTCCACATAACAGGTATGTCATCTCTTTCTCAGCTACCATTTTGTTCAACACCTGTTCTACAAGTTACTTTCTAGGTACTTTCAATTTGTGTCTGAAGATGGCCGTAGATCCGAAACTATAGTCACACTGATTATACATTCGATATTGAATATTGTGGTCGACCGACTTTGAGT